GTCATTTAATCGCTTTTCGGTCCAAATATTCTCCTCAACACCCTGTTCTCAAACACCCTCAGTCCATGTTCCTCCCTTAATGTCAGAGACCAAGTTTCACACCCATACAGAACCAAGGAAAACTTATTCTGTTTATTCCAATCTTTACGTTTTTAGACAGCAGACGAGAAGACAAAAGTTTTCTGGACAAGATAATAGCAAGAATTACCCGAGTTCAGTCTCCTCTTAATTTCCTCCTGAATTAGGTTTTGATTTGTTACTGTCGTTCCAAAATATCTTAAATGTGCCATATTTTCGTAACATATGTTAGCTATTTTTTATCATGATTTTTCCCTGGATTCTGGTGACGTGACAGCAACATACACTTAGTTTTCTCTGTGTTTACTTCTAGATCAACCTCCTTACCAGGGTCAATTAAAGTTTGTGTGTTTTTCTTTATGGTATCTATATTATTACCCAGTTGATTCGTATCATTAGCACAGACCGCCAGCTGATGTGTTCCATTTCGGTGACGAGACAGCAACATATACTTAGTTTTCTCCGTGTTTTTCTTTATGGTATTTCGATTATCACCCAGTACATTCACATCATCAACACATACAAATAGCTGATGTGTTCCATTTAGTTTCAGTCCCACATGGTTTTCCTGGACCTTCATAATGGCATATTCCAAAGGAAAGTTGAAAAGCAGTGGCGATAAAGCAGCTCCTTGTTTTAGACCATTCTGAATAGTTCCAGAAGATATTACGCTTAAAAATGAAGTTCTTAAACAAATGATTAAATATCTAAATATCGTGCAGTAGGTTAAATTATATTGTTGTTACGAAAGTCGACAATTGGTGCTCGCGGATATTAGTACATTACAGAAACCAAACCAAATATAATTATACTGCCAATAATCTGTTCTTCTGGAACTGAGAACCGCAATGCAGTCATTATCAGATGCAATGCCTAGGATAAGGGCACACGAGCGTTATTTCGCCTCTGTGAGCGGACGTGAAAATCACTTGCGATATGCATTTCCCACGGATCAAAGGTCGTGGCCATACGAACGTGAAATTAGCCGACGTGTTCGTAACCGGGTTTCGTTCTCACGGTCTCCAGCAGTCGAATGCATAGTGTTCCATTTTATCTGCGTGAATTTCTCTGCCTAGCGTGACAAAACTCTTCCATTTGTGTGCACTTTCCGATGTGCAGATCGTCTGGGAAATTCCTTCCAATAAGCTGAATTTTATAAACAATGAAACAGCGACAAGCGAAATGATGTACCTATGAGAGAACTTGAAAATTGTTATATGCTACCTCTTTAGATGTGCATGAAATATACACTAGGGCTCGCGGTAGCGTAGTTGGTTGAGATAATATGCTATAAGCAGGAAGATCGCAGGTTCGATCTCGGATGAGGTAATTTAATTTGTCAATTGACCTAATCCTTCCAAAGAGCCGGTGAAGCGCAGTCGGTATAGCGACTGGCTACGGGCTGGACGACAGAGAGGTTGGAATTCGAGTCTCGGTAGGGTCAAGAATTTTCTTTTCTCCAAGTTGTCCAGACCGATTATGGGGTCAACATAACCTCCTATCTATCCAATGGGTACCGTGGGCTTTCCTCCGGGGGTAAAGCGGCCGGGGTGTGAAGATGACCACTCACCTCCAGCTAGTGCCGAGGTCAAGAAAATGTGGATCTATACATCCACTCCTTCATACGCCTCTATGGCGTAGTGCTTAATTGGTTAAGCACAGGTATAACTTTATCCTTTTACCTTTCACATAATCCTTCCAGCCGCACTATGGCACTAGACCTCTAACAGAAATGAGTACCCGGAATCTGTGTAAACAGCGGCCGGCGCTTAAGACTGACAACCTCACCACCAAGTCTGAGCCAGTTGTCTAGGAAATGTGGAAGCCCTATCTCTTTCCTTTTTTGAAGTATATACAACTTTACATTCAATGTCCTTTCAGAAATTAACGGACGAAGCCTCCCTTTTTCTTCGCTTTCATTTATCTTGGATATAAAAGACGAGATAAACAAGCTTCATCTACGAAATCGATCGCTATCTGCGTAGAGCATATTTACTGCCGTAGCAGGAAAAGAACCCTGTACGGATGTGAAGAAACCGATCCTATGGTCACCGAGTCGCTTTGCCTCCATATATGTTTTTGGCGCCCTCACACGAACGATAAAATATGCTCGTGGGGTGTTAGACATGTACCATCATGATGGGATTCTTCTGAAATTTGGCAGTAGTAGTTATTTCAAACTAGGCACAATGTTTATATTAGCGTGAGTCGAAATGCAGACCACGACGATAAACTTGCATTCCTTTATTCATTTATGGTTTATTTACCGATATTTCTAATGGTTAAGAGAGTCTAATAAAAAGATTAGTGAATAAAGAATAGGGAACTATGTGAAAGAAAGTGGTAGTTGCCTAACAAATGCTCCTATCCCAGCATTTAACTCCATGGACAGAGGAAAAAGTGGAATTGATTATCAAATGCGTAGCATAATATTTCTGTTAGAGTTGCTCAGTTTAGTTACTTAAACAAGAGCGGTTAGTCGCTGGCTTCCCACCGCGGCGGTCCGGATTCGATCCCGGGTTTGGTCAAGTGGGATTTGTGCTGGACAAAGTGGCGCTGGGGCAGGTTTTCTCTGAGTACTTCGGTTTCCCCTGCCAATCTTTATTCCACCAATTGCTCCACAATCACCCTCACCTATCATCCTGGGCTGGTACAACAGGCCAGAAGTGGCCCTTCTGGAGGAGCCGCCAATTCTGCAGCTACTCAAGAATTTTCCAGCATTTTATGGAACCTGAAGGTTAATTACCGTGTTCACAAGAGCCCTCCACTGGTCGCTATCTTGCGCCACATAAATCCAATTCATACCATCCCATCCTATCTCTCTAAGATCCATTCTAATATTGTCCACCCACCTACGCCTTGGTCTTCCCTGTGGTCTCTTTCCTTCTGGCTTTCCCACCAATATCCTATACGCAATCCTCGTCTCCCCCATTCGTGCTACATGCCCTGCCCATCTCATCCTCCTTGACTTGATCATTCTAATTATACTTGGAGAAGAGTACAAGTTATGAAGCTCCTCTTTATGCAGTTTTCTCCAACCTGCTGTCACTTCATCTCTCCTCGGTCCAAACATTCTCCTCTACAGCCTGTTCTCAAATACCCCCAGTCTATGTTCCTCCCTTAATGTCAGAGACCAAGTTTCACACCCATACAGAACCACAGGCAAAATTATAGTTTTTGTATATTTTAATTTTTATGTTTTTAGACAACAGACGAGAAGACGAAAGGTTCTGGACTGAGAAGACAGAATTCTTCATAACCGCTCCGCAAGAAACTCAAATGCTACAAACGTTTGTAGTATTCCCCAATACCAAATTTCTTGAAAATCTGTTCAGCTTTTTATTTTCTTTAAGTTTTCATATGCGGACAAACGGACAGTCATATTGTGATATGTAGGCCGTGTCTAGGAAACAACTCAGTAAAAAACACGCTTCCTTGGATACGAACAGGCAACAAACACTTTCCGTGGATACCGTCAACCTACATAAGCTGCCATGCAGAGAAGATTCGTTCAAGATTTTGCGTGTCATCCTTGAACAAAGCCCGCATTGACAGAGAACTTGTGGGTAGTGCAAAAAGGAAGAATTTTCAATAACATGTTATATGTGTGAAATACACTCTTGAGCAAAAGCCAAGCAAATTCGTAAAAGACAAACCCATCTTCTCGTAAGAGAGGATGTTACATAAGAACTATTACCGCAGGAGTTCAGTTGGGGGGGGGGTTATCGCTGGTCGTGAGCCTCAAGGGTCCTGGCGCCTATATGAACTGACTAGAGGTAAACCTCCAGTCGTAAAGTAACTCTGACTTGATTCATTCATTCTTAAATTATTCTTCTTTCGTCAGTCGTACATGAGATGTCATTCGCAGCAGAAGACAGACTAGAAGAAGAGCCAGTCGCAGTCCAGTCAGAATGGAGCCAGTCTAAAGTTTCGGTCACACAGAGCGCTATGTACGCGACGCACGCTACGTACGCTATGTTCGCTATACGAACAGAAAAATATCTCCCTTTATTGCCAATGTGACTGGCCACACAGACTTCCGTACGCTACGTACGCCATGTTCCCTATGTTAGCTGCGTCGCAGAGTGTACACAGCGTACGTAGCGAACATAGCGTAGCGCTCTGTGTGGCCGAACCTTAAGGCAGTCGATGACTGTGAGCTGTCGTAATTGACTGCGATTAAGAGTGACTGTAAAGGCGTCAATAAATCCAATCCAGAGCCCGTTATTATTAGTCACGGAGCCATAAACTCGCGGTAATAGAAAGAGACAGATGTGATGATACTAATAGGTTACTACTGCGGTAACTGCTTATTACTACAGTATTAACCTATTAGTATCATTACATGGATGCCGCCACGTACAAAATCCTAAGCTTCAATCGAAGCGCGGGATTGCTGACAGGTTAATCAAAAGGGGAAGCACAATAGGCCACGGTAGGTCGCGGTGCAAGGGCCGAAAAGGCCTACCCCTCATACATTCATTCATTCACTCAACTGCTTCTTATGGACGCGACAAAAATGTCGGGATAGATGGTCTACGAACCGGAATTTGAAACTTGTATCTTCCGAATACGAAACAGGAATGAACTCTTAGTGGCATCAACATAAGAAAGGCTTCTTCCGATGCATTACTTCCGTTACATGCTATTAAAATTGAATTAGTTTTGCGGTATAATTAGCCGGTCCCAACTAAACACGAAAGAAAATGTCGAATAGATAACCCCTGAACATTTACTACGGCGAGCATGCCATTACAATCCTGTAGAAACACGTGAGCTTAGGAACGGCTGGAAGAAACTGTTAAGTTAGCCTCGGAACAAGATTTGGGCCCAATCCAAATCACGACAGAAGAAGACTAAGAACAAAATGATTGAATAAATGCAGGGCTGTTCATTCTATATGTGTTGTCCATCCGTTTCAGAATGTGTTGGAGATGTGTGTAGTTGTCACCATGAGATGGGGCTGCCCAAACCAACCGGGGTGATGGCTCATACTGTAGGGCCACGAAATATAAATGCCAGCTGGAACCTCTCTCCACCAGGAACAGCCGAAGCTGCGTCCCTTGTTAATGTAACAAAGTTCATCATATAGTAAGTACCACTTGTAGCGTGATATCCATGAGACCTGTTGCTGTTTATCACGTGATTACGAACATACTTCGACAACAGAAAACACGGCATGCAAAATTATTGGGAGGGGTGGGAGGGAACGTGAGAGATCTATTATCTAAATTATAACCCATTTCTCGCCTCGTACATCCTCCACAGCTTTCATGAATTAATCTTTTTTCCAATACTATATTCTTCATGCATATTTGGAAACAAAATAGGACATGACGAGTTCTGTCTCCTGCGACGTGAAACCGTGTAGTGTAGTAAATATTGCTAGGCAACGACCGCGAAGTAAGCGGCTATGCAATAGCCGTTGCTAGGTAATGGCCTGTAAAAAGCAACAGAGAAATTATGTTTTCTGCGCGGCCTTCGTCGATGGCTACGCACGTAAAAAAGGCACAGCAACAGAGGAATAGTGTTTTCTGTGAGGTCCGTTCCGATATGTTATTAAGCAGGAAGAGTTAGGGAAGGCACGCAACAGCAACCACGGGCACCGTAGATATATGTTAAAAGCTTCAGGCCTCCCGTAGACCAGAATGCACCACAAAAGGAAATTCTAAGAACAGATATCAGTACACGCTCACAGTTCGACTAACAATGATACATTGAAAGTCACCACTGTAGTGCAACAGAACATCACAGAGCGTAGTGAAGCTGTGTCAGAAAAAGACAAATTAGTGATCATTACAAAATTGGTACTTAATTTAATGCAACAAAATGGCTGCTAGAATTCATAGGCCGCTCAAGGTCATAGCATTTAATGCAAATGCCATTTGGAGTCAGCGCTATGAGCTCAGTAAACAGCTGCAACGCTTGCATACAGATATGGGGCTTCTCTCAGAGACACAGCTCAAACCCAATGAGCTTTATTCCAAATTATCACTTTTATCAGACTGACAGCTTCCCGAGAAAAACATGCATTCTCCATAACCATGCAGGCCTATGTTACATGTGCGATACATACGCTTGACAAAGGCGAAACCCCTGCACAATAGACAAACCCATCCTCTCGTCAGAGAATGCGTTACATATGGACTAGGACCGCATTGGTTCAGTCGCCAAGATGAACTGATTGGCGGTAAACCGCCAGGCGTGAAGTAACCATTGACTGACAGAGTTAGTGCAGTGGAGTGAGTTGGTTGGTGAGTGAGTACATTGTTCAGAGGACTCCTGCAGTTCGGTCGTTGTGAGCTGTTGCTGTGAGAAGCCGGCAGCTGAAGCATGGGGACAATTATGGAACCCAGAAGAAGGGGAACGTCCGCAGTTGGAACCCATTACCAGGCAACGACTGTTGAAGACGCAGCAGACTAAGAAGATTTAGTGCGTGCTGTAGTGAACTGCAGAGTGTGTGAATTGGCGATAGCGCTATACGAGTAGTTACTTGTAGTTATGATCTGTAAGTGTTCAAGAAATCCAATTACCAATCCAAACCCCGTCCATAGTCACACACCATACGCGTGACAATACTGTGACATGACGCCTGAAAGCCGGAATAGGGGAACCACAGCAGGCATCCAATGCTAGGCAACGGCTCGGTAAACACATTCAAGTGTCAACGAATATGCCAACAACAATCTGAGAACTATCGTTTCCATGAAAAGGTGGTGTGTATAAGGATTCACTAAAACCAATTCATCCAATCCAAAACCGATATAAAATTCACGCACCCTTAAAACATGACAATGTTAAAGAGGTTTCGGAGGAATGTAAACTAATTGCATATACAGGATTGAAGAATAAGACAAACTCAGATACTATTTGCTTGTTTCTTTTTTTGGTTTACTTCGACCCTTAAATTAAAAGTATCACATTCCTTCGCAACATCGCTAAATTTCTTCATATTTCACGGCGTTACATTTCGGAAGACAGTACTCTGCATGGTCACTGCCATGATGACTTAATATATCAGAATAAGTATCCAGCCTTCTAACTAGCGTCAATTAAAGTTTGTGTGTTTTTCTTTATGGTATCTACATTATCATCCAGTAGATTCACATCATCAGCATAGACCAACAGCTGATGTGTCCCATTTAATTACAGTCTAATCCGGTTTTCCTGGACCTTCCTAATGACATATTCTAAAGCATAGTTGAAAAACAGTGGCGATAAAGCATCTTCTTCTTTTAGATCATTCTGGATAAGGAAATTATCGACAAATGTTTATCTATGAAGACTTTACTATACATTTTGGTTAAACTCTATGGGAATACTGTACAATTCATAATTGAATCACAGGCTTTCTTCTACGAATAACAAAAATTATATTTGTTTGAAAAAAATTGGTCTAAAAATCTCTGTCATAAAAACACTGGCTAAATGAGCAACTTAGAACCCTTCATAATGAGAAACTCCACGTTTTATTGTTAAGAAAGTGAAATTTATGAGGGTACAGCAGACTGATGCCAAGCTAAGGGCGATATAAAGTGCAAATAGAATTTGGTGAAAGCAACTCTTAGAAAAGAGCTGCTTCAAAAATGGCAACAAAGAAGGGATATTAATGCTATGAGATATTTCAAGGATGGAAAGTATATGTAACTGGCTGAGAATCATGTCCAAGATTCAAGAGTTGTTGTACCTTCAAATTCTGCTACCAGAAAGTTTTTGGTTATTTGGCAATTTACTTATAAATCACACATATGAAACAAATAAAACTTTGCCTATGGTTCAAGATTAGATGTATAAAAGGAGCAGAAATACACATCCGTTCTTAACACTCACTAGAGGATGAGGTTCACTACATGGTATGTTTTCCCTTTCCTGTGAGGATACATCCCTTGATATCCACTCTACTGGATGACCAAAACAGCATCTCTATATAATTATAATGAAGGCAAACATTCCAGTGACACCCCCAAGAACTGAACCGTGCCATCAAGCCAATATTCATCCACTTTGACTAATCTAAGAAGACTACTAGCATTTCTCTAAGATGTTAATACCCTTAGATTTAGTACTGTGCGTCCACATCCTCAGCATTCTAACTGAAAACTGTCTTGGGTTTTATTTTTATTTCGAAATGATTAAGAATAAGCTTGTGTATATGACAGACATATAAAGCAGATCATTGTCTATTTATACTATAGGTGAACTGAAAACTAAATCGTGCTTTTTCAAAGTTCTCTATCCACATGGAGTTCAGAAATTTGGTTAACTGTTCAAGGGATACTAAGCACAAAAAAAGTTAGAGAAATGTTGATGTATCTAATTAAAACTGAACAGAGTAGTGTGTTTTAATCAGATTTGCTGATAATTAAATTAGAGACTGTTTATGTTCACACAGTACATAAATTCAGAGACTTGTACTATGAAACCAATTATTATGTGGTCTCACAATAATTCTGCTTCATACTTGTAATTGGAAGAGAAGTTTCGAAGTTTGTTATGTCTGATATATACAGATACAGTAACCACAAGGAGTCTGATCTAATGAATATAACCTATTTTCATAACATGTTATCATGCTTATGTTAAATTTAACAGAGTTTTCACATATCTACCAATAACATAAAAAAAGATAGTGGCAGTATTATCGTATTACAGTCCTCTGAGCAAAATTAGGCAAAGTTTCCCGCCCAAGTAATTTCCAATTCCTCCGGTAGATGGGCAAGTATTGAGGACCACTGCCAGAGAGGGCCAACCTCGCTGGCAGAATGGGGCTGATAGCGAGCACCAGTACTGGAAGGGCATGGCGAGTGGTACAATACTTAAAGGGGGACGCACAATAGATTAACAACTAGTCGCAGTGCATGGGGAAACCCACCCCCTCCAAAAATAATAATAACAATAATAATAATTTTATTACAGTGATATAAAAAGAAAATAATAAGAGAACAACAGAAACATGTTATATTTGCAACCAAGACAAAAAGAACTTCAATTAAATACATGCACCAATAGGAGCAAACTAATTCTTAACATAGTTCTGAACACACCCACCTAACATCATCTGGCCACTGAAGTGTACCATGCCCATCAACATTAATTTTCAAGAAACGGGGTTTGAAGTTAGGAAATCAGCTGCAGTTTAAATGTTACTTACAATTAAATTCATTCAGAATCATCACTCTTTCAAGGGCGGTAAACCCTTTGTGGGAACCTCCCACATTCTAACACGCAGCTTTGCCGGTCTAACAGACAACATTCAACTTCTGCTCAAGCCAAGTCAATGTCACTTTGTGACCACCTGTCATATTTATACAGCACTCGCTCCCCGGCCCTCCTGGCAATCATCCTGCCCGCTCATAACCACTCAGCGACCATAAAAGAAGGCCCACACTACTACTAGCACAAGCACGGCCCTTGAACAACACATGTGTATATATATATATATATATACATATATTTTGAGACAGTTTCCCAGCCATTCTGGACAGTTGAGAACAATATATACAACTGTTTTAGTTTTACGTGGTTCGCTCTTAGAACATCGACATCCCACACCATAAAAGAATAAGGAGATAGTGCAATGAAATACAGTGGAACCTCGCTTAATGAGCATAATTCGTTCCAGAATCTTACTCGTAATGCGAAACACTCGTTAAGCGAAACAATTTTTCCCATATAAATTAATGTAAAATATGATAGTGTATTCCATGCCGAAAAAATACTCAAAAAATTTTATGTATAACGTTTATTCAAAGAAAATTATATATACATTGTTAAGGAGCATGAATCATCTTCATCTTTTCTTCTATGTGGAATGAGCCAACCTGGAATGCGAATTCGGTTTGCAGAAAACAAAAATAGTCGAAATAATTAGTTTATTATTTATGATACATATCTAATTCTTTTTTACTAGAAAGCTGTCTAGAGACATTTCTTTTTGCTGACACTTCAAAATTTGGTGAAAATGCAACACAGTAGTATCATTAAATAAATTTGTAGCGCTTTTCAATGATTTCATGTTTCATTTCTATGGTTATTTTTATTCACTTATGGCTGTTTTTGCAGCCTTTTCTTCGGGAACATCTTTGCAAGGGTTATTAAACTTTGCACAAAAAAAATCACACATAATATGTCTGAACACAAGTTGGGAAAAGTGTGTGATCACAAGCGACACTAAGACGCTAGCGGAACGAGTGCTAAACACAGACTGATGTAGCAAGCACACAATCTGGAACTTCCCGTTTCATCCTTCATTATGCGAAATGTTGCTCGTTAAGCGAGTCATTTTTTTACAATTTGTTTTGCTCGTTATGCGAATAACTCATTATGAGAGGTGCTTGTTAAGCGAGGTTCCACTGTATAGTGAATCAGAAAGTGCATTATATCAGTTTTTCCCAGTGCTCAAGTGGCAATACACAGCATCATCCAAACTAAAGCATTACTTACAGTACAGTAAAGCATCCTGCTGCCTGCTTCATGCTGGTTTCTTGCTTGGCTTACTCTTCAAACTTGAAGATGGAGGTCACATGTCCCTCTGAAACATCAGTTAATATTTGATGGACTGTATGGCATTATGTACCACAAGCTTAAGTAAGTAAGTAAGTAAGGGGTGAAAAATACTGTTGCGAAGTATGAACTACAATTACCTGTAATGGTTCTCACCTGTGACATTTCCATAGAGTGAATTAACAGTCACTCACCTGGTCAAGATAATTAATATTTTCATGAACCCCAAGCTTAAGGACTGTGTTCATAAGAGCCTCGAAACCAGCATTATATTCCAAAAGACAGAATTATTCATAACCACCACTGTGAAAATATCAAATTTATAATAACTATATATACATCCAAATTATTTTGAAACAATGCTGCCTGTGTTTCAAGAGTAATAGCTTTTTGGCTGTGACTTCTTGTAGTCTGGTAAAAGTTCACCAGTGTCTCATAGGAACTTGCAGCCTTCAGCTTGAGGGTTGAATGTATGCTATGCAAGCAATGAGCAAGGAGCAAGGAGCTGGTTCAACTAAAAGCTTCCTCCAGAACATTGGTGAAATTCTACCAGATTACATGGTGTCACATCTCAAAAGATAGTATTACCATAGTCATCACTGAGAGAACCTCAAATCAAACAATTACCTGTGTTTATTTCCAGTTTTGGCCATCAGGTGCTTAAGGATTGGAAGATATTTAATATGACTCCTGTAGGTGATATGAAGTACACACAAAATGGAGACATCAAGTCCCACCACAGTTTGCTCATTGAGGCACCATATGAGCTCAGACCAAATGTGACATACATGATCAATGTATTTGTCATAGACAATCGAGGCTGCAAAGGACCTGGAACAAATTATACATTCACAAGTGAGTTGAATTTCCCTCAATCAGCAAAAGAGTTAGCTCATGTAGTAACATTTTGTATTTGCATTTGGAAGGTGACAGAAGTCAGTCTCATTTAGTTTGACTCTTGGCTGGGAAACCAACTATATTGACTGATGTTTTTCATCTCTTCCCTTGGTACCTTCAGACAAATGCCAGAATAGTACCTCAAATTAAGCAATGACCACTTCATTCCACACATTTTCCAGTTAATTATTAATTGATAATTCTACAAATGCTAGAGAGGAGCAGAGGTAAGTAGAGCATAATTTCATATAGTACAGTAAAGTACAGTACGGAGATTGGATAGTGTAGTCGGTATAGCAACTGGCTATTGGCTGGATGTCGGAGTTCGAGTCCTGGTAGGATCAATTTTTTTCTTCTCCAAATCGTCCAGACCGGCTCTGGGGTCCACCCAACCTCTTATCCAATGGGTACTTGGGAGGGGGTTCTTCGGGAGTAAAGCGGCCAGGGAGTGAAACTGACCACTCACCTCCAGCTAGGGCCAAACTCAAGAAAATGTGGATCTATACATCTACTTCCCCATACGCCTTCATTGTGTAGTGTTTATTAGTTAAGCACAGGGAAAACTTTACCTTTACCTTACAGTAAAGTATAGTAGAGTACAGTATAATGTAGTGTAGCATAATATGGTGAGGTATGCAGTATATAACATAGTTATCCTCAGATAAACCATTAACAAATATAGAGAAGAGAAATTGGAAATAAATGTATTTCAAATTTAAGCCTTTCATGACAATTTCTTTCTACACCATTGCATTTTTGTTTTACTATTATCAAATTTGAAGCGCAAGTTATTCAATAGTGCTTACCTATTTGTTCCTTTGAGAAAAGATCATTAATATGGATCATAAACTTGTGAATTATTTCCGTTCAGTGAGTTAAATAATGTGTGTACCTCATAATGTTGCACACAAAATTACCAACAGAGTCATTTGAAGTTTATTAATCTTAATGAATGTGAGAATAACGAATTTTAAATCAGCGAAACTCTTGCATAATTAGTTGCAATAAAATATGTGGAAGGGTTTATGGGATACATGGAAAACTTCATTTATATCTTTGTGCAAACTAGGGTGAAAAATATGGCTGAAAATTGAAACCGCCAAACAATTCTTGGTGGAAGTCTCACATATCAAATATAAATTGTATATGTGGTAAGGTTTATGGGATACACCGAAGAGTCAACTTATGGCAAACTCCAATTTATTATCAGTCAATATGGCTGAAAATCAGAACTGTTAAATAAAATTTTGTGGAAGTCTCCCATACTGAATTTCAGTATTTCAGTTTATTCAATGCATAGAAAAGTACAATTACAGACTCATTAATTCAGTTCAATATTTACACCAAAGACATCCCAGTCTAATTTCTTGCTCTGTCACACAGTCGCTACAATGTTTAAAAAAAAAAAAAAGNTTTACCTATTTGTTCCTTTGAGAAAAGATCATTAATATGGGTCATAAACTTGTAAATTATTTCTGTTCAGTGAGTTAAATAACGTGTGTACCTCATAACGTTGCACACAAAATTACCAGCAGAGTCATTTGAAGTTTATTAATCTTAATGAATGTGAGAATAACGAATTTTAAATCAGCGAAACTCTTGCATAATTAGTTGCAATAAAATATGTGGAAGGGTTTATGGGATACATGGAAAACTTCATTTATATCTTTGTGCAAACTAGGGTGAAAAATATGGCTGAAAATTGAAACCGCCAAACAATTCTTGGTGGAAGTCTCACATATCAAATATAAATTGTATATGTGGTAAGGTTTATGGGATACACCGAAGAGTCAACTTATGGCAAACTCCAATTTATTATCAGTCAATATGGCTGAAAATCAGAACTGTTAAATAAAATTTTGTGGAAGTCTCCCATACTGAATTTCAGTATTTCAGTTTATTCAATGCATAGAAAAGTACAATTACAGACTCATTAATTCAGTTCAATATTTACACCAAAGACATCCCAGTCTAATGTCTTTCTCTGTCACACAGTCGCTACAATGTTTAAAAAAAAAAAAAAGATAACTCTGGTTTCATGCCATGTGTTATATGGACCTTAAAAGCAATTGTTTGTAGGACTTTGACTAAAATTCAGAACATTGGGCTCAAGTCCCCCAGTCAGAACCTGTCCCACAAGATATAAATTCAAATTAAATCAAATGAACCTGGTTTGTTTTACCTTTAAAAATATATTGACTTAAAGGTATTAAGGAAGGACATAAATTGTTTAACAATATGGTATGCAATTGTCAAGGAAACAACTCACAATAAATGTTTCACAAGTCACATATTTTTAGATACAGTGTGAATATATCTAGGAATTCCAAATGGAGTCCAAAATATATGCTGAAATTCAGAATAAAAACTTCATAAAATTATGTTTTTTTTTCCAGTTCCTTATCAAGCAACAATAGAAACAAATCAAACTCCAGTAAGTATTTAGAATATATTGTATAATTTTATAATCTTTTTTCCCATTACAATTAAAGTTTCATGTAGAAACATATTTAAAGAGTTAAATATTTTATCACTTGAATCCCAATATATATATATTCGTTGTTAGTATTTGTATAGCAAAATAAAGTTCTTTTTCCATCAAACACTGATTCTCATACTACTGATACTAGACTGAGACAAGATTTGTATTTACCTCAAGCTAATTTAACTATTTATCAAAAAGAAGTTCATCATACGGGTATAAAAATATTCAATAAATTGCCCATAGAGATCAAGAACACATTCAATAATTTTAAAAAGTTTAAGGTTGTATTAAGGCATTTCTTGAATACTCATATGTTTTATACTGTGGATGAATATCTAAACAGATAAATTTATTATTGTTGTGTTCATTGTACTATCTAGTTGTGTAATATTTATGTATGTATTCTGTGCTCTATGTTATTTTATGACATGTTTTATATGCATCTTTGGATCTCTTGAACTTACAATAAATACAAATACAAATACAGATTAGAGAGTAAATGATTAACAATTGTAAGAGAACTTACTTGATTTCATTCAAAGTGTTATTTTATGTAAATCAATTTGCTCACTTTGTTGGATTTGAAGTTTTCACAGTGGTGGCTATAGAGAATATTATCTTCTGTGACATGGCATGATGTAATCTGGTAGAAGGTTACTAACAACTCAGGGGAACAAATAGCCACCATCTTCCGGATCAAAGAGTAAGTCAAGCAAAATATTCTCTTTGGTTAATGCTTACATGTTTCCTTGCTCAGCTTACTTTTTGACCCTGAAGAGGGAGGCAGTGTATTCCTCTGAAATGTCAGCATACTTCTGCCTGATAACATATCATGACATCCCAGAATTTGATACTCTTCATAGTCATTGTCTCAGAATCTCGAATCTGGCATGAGGTATAAATTTTCAAGACCTTTCAGTTCTGGTCAAATGGAATATTTTACATTCCAATATTGTACTGGTATTTTGTCGGTCTGAATAGGATTAATCAGCTGTAACAATATAGCAGTTCAAGGACGAGTTTAGTATTTTTTCTGTTTTAAATATCTCCACCAGTTCTCAAGTTGAAGCATGTGTATGGACATACATGGGTGACCTTTCATATGTGTATTTTGCTTATGCATATTGTGCAAATGATGCATAATTATGATCTTAAAGACAGATCCATATGCTTAGGCTAGCTAACCGACAATCTAACAGATTCAGTTTTTAAATTCTGCATTTGTGTCAAGGTTGTAAGTTCTGTCTTTGCCATATCAAATGTGATAAATTTAGATGTATTTTTTCTAATACAAATGTCTATAGTTTTGAAATCTGGCACATATTTAGTTGGGAATTCTATGCAGAATTTATTGTAAACATAATTGAATTCTTAAAGATAATTTTTAAAACATGAGATCAACATTGGGAAGACAAGGCTTACAACCTATGCACAAACAAACTTTGCATCAAAAAAGGACATAATGAAGTAATGGATTTCAGGGGGTTGTTGGTCATGGCTCATTGCAGTGGGTGCTAGTAACAGTGTTCTCGGTCTTATCATTTGTGGGGGTAAGCATCCTTACTATGGCAATGGTCAGGAAACGATGTGGCAGATGGATGCGTCGCAAGTTGGGAGAAGGTCGGCTTCAACCAATTCATAGCTGGCGTGGCGTATACAAGGCTGTAAGCATTGACAGGTTGGTGTGATCTTCACATCTGCTGGTAAATGTTCTGCTGTGTTTGATAAGTGTGACTGGTGTTATATTGCATGTCCATGTGACTGTGTTAGTCTAATCTGTTTATTTGTGCCAAGTAAGTAAGAGCAATGTGACTGCGTATGGATCAAAAAGCTGCAGCAAGATAACTCCATGGAAAAGAAAAAGGAAAATAGCATTATGATGATTGCCAACTTTTGGGATAAGACACTATGTAGTTTCGCAGACAGGTGTCAGTATTATGAAGGAACTTGCTGTCTCCATCTTCATGATAAAAGATTAAGCTGGGCGCAGAAAAATTGAAAAATACTTAACAATGAAGTCAAATAAAGCTAACTTCAAACATGCAACTGTTGGATCTTTTATATGAAATAATTAAAATGGTGTCATGCTGTAGGCCTGTATTGCTTGTACTGTAGAAATAGAAATGTGGCTGCTGTCAGAAATCTTTCCAAAAGAGGAAAGAACGGGCAAATTTTGCTTATAAAATATATTTTATGCTCTTCAACAACATTTTGTGGCAACCCTAAAGTTGTAGATATTTATTTTGAAACACAAATAAAGGTATATTCAAAACTAACTTTAATTTTTGGTACTACAATTTGTTATACCACCTTCTTTTTCAGTTCTGACTTTTTACAAAAATTTAACTCCCACCCCTGTGCTGGTGCCCAAGACTAGAACGTTTTTTGAGACCCCTGTGCAGGGCTGGGTTTAAACATGTTAAGGTCCTAAGATGGGTCAAATTCCTAAGCCCTTCACATATATTCTTTTAATAGTACAGACAATATTAATAGAAATATTCTGAATTTCAGCATGCTTATGATGACTGAAAAATGACCAGTGAGAAATCTGTAACTGAAATGAGAGCAACAAACAGTGTAATTTTAAAGTACAAATGTTATATCAATGTAATTTCTTTATTATTTTATATATAGGAATATATGTACCTATAATTCTTTCCTAACCTTATAACGGTTGTGCGGTTGCACTTAATGGAATATATGTTATTTTCTAAATGATACAAGTTGCCTTGTTTTATTCATTGTTTGTGTGTGTGTATGTGTGTATATATGTTTGTATGAGTTTGTTGTTTTCCTTTGTTTCTTCAAGCTTACCTTTTTAAGAAGAATTGGGGCTGCTGAGTAAGCATGTAAATAAATTAATAAAGTATCAAACTCAACTGAATTGCAGTAGTAGAACAGTCCACTTCATAATATGAAAATGTAAATTTTGTATGTCATTCACCTTATCTAGTATTCGGTGCAGTCTGTTCCAGCTACATGCTGATAATACAATGAAAGATAATATTTCCTTTTCTTTCTCTGCAGTGGAGGAAGTCGGCTTTCAAGGAACTTCCCATCACATCAGGAGAGGAATATTATATATGTAGAGAAGGAAATAGAGGTGAGATACAGAAGTTGTTTCGTGGAAAATGAATTTTTATGAACTAATCAAGGAATGTTAACAAATTTACTGCAATGCCTCTATGTTGAGATAGTACAAACAACAAAAAAGCATTGCCATTATAGAAAGCTGAGGAAAAATGAATATATGAAAATTTGTTGCAGCCTTCACAAACCCTTCTGGGATGATTTCTATTAAGTAAATTCCTTGGAACAGTATCTAGCATCTTCTTATTCATCAGAGGATTAGCCTTATATACTATCATTTGTTAGTTAACTTATACTTTCATTGTTATGATTTTGGGACCTCTAAGACATAAGCTGCAAAAATGCCTATATTAGCTTTGCTATGTCTGTCTGTCCACTGGTCCAAATTCAGATTCCTCAAATATAAAGTCATACAAATTATAACAGGCTCTGGGGAAATAATTTAGTATTTCCAGGCTACTATAATCAGGGCTGGATTTAAGAGACAACAGCTGGGTTAGTCAACAAAAAGCCTCCAAAAAAATAAAAATAGAATCCACAGATTTTAATGAGACATTTCTTCTCTAAAATCATGAAAAGTTAATTAGTATTTTTAGTTAATATAAGAAATAAGAACAAAAAAGATAACTGTCTTAATCTACATTTGTTATTACTGATAGGGAACTCCACATTTTGACTGCCCTGGGACTCTCACAACACTAAATTTGATCCTAGCTATAATAAACACATTATGCATGTCAATACATCATTGAAAGTCAGGGTCCCTGTCCTAAATTTCTCATACAGTTTAGCTATGAGTACATTTACCACATTAAATTTCATTGCCACATTTTTTTTTGTTCTGTCAAAGGAAGCAAAAGCTCGAGGAGATGCTGATACATTTGAAGTGAGTTATGATCGCCTGGAATTGGGGCGGCAGATTGGGAAAGGAGCATTTGGGCGAGTGTTCCTAGCACGTGCTGAAGCTATCGCCGGTATCCCAGGGTACATCACAGTTGCAGTAAAGAAGCTGAAGCGTGAGTGTTCTGATTTCATGAAGTATGGGACTAAAATGTAAGATAAGAGCAAACACTGGCTTGGTTAGGAAAAGGCGAAACCTCAGAAGGTTTATATCTTCTACCATGAACTCTTCAAAATTTATTTCATTGTCAGTGTTCCTGTTGCCGCTGTCACCACCACCAACCACTACCGAACATGAGCTACCATCACCATCATCATCAATGACAACATAATCATCAGACTTTGTCTATACTATGTCTGTGGGTACACCATACCTTGAGTAGGCAACCTTACAAATAAGAGTTCTGTGCATTCAACAGGAATGCAAATATATTAATTATTGTTTAAGCTATGTGTTGAAAATAGACTCAAGTAACTTTCGAATGATGATATAGCCATCTACATCACTATCTAATGATGACATAACCTCAAATGTGTTATTAATAAAGATATTCTTCTGTAATTTGTATTAAATACTTCTCTTGTATTGATGTACATTGTTTCTGCATCCAGTTTTGTAGAAATTCCATCATCTGCTTTCTCCACCTCATAACTGGTCTTGTGGCCATTACTAGGGTTCAAAAAATACTGTCACTTCATCATTAGTGTAAACTGAAAAATGATGGCTGGCAACTGCCTTCTCAATTGTCATTCAGTAGTTGGCTTGTGGAGTTCATACAATCTCACTTGCTCACTTGTTGCACAGAGGAAGTGGCCACACCACATCCAAAGTTTTTAAATTAACATAATTACTAAGTCATAATAATTATTTTTTTATTTAATTGGTAAGGTTTGCATGTCTTTAGGATAAACAGTATATCATCCACCCACCTGCATCTTGATCTTCCTAGTGGTCTCTATCCTTCTGGCTTTCCCACCAATATCCTACATGAATCCCTCTTCCCCCCATTTGTGCTACATGCCTTGCCCATCTGATCCATTGTGACTTGATCATTCTAATTATAAATGGCAAAGTGTACAAGTTATGAAGCTCCTCAGTATGCAGTTAAAATTATCTATTTCAAGGAGTGTCACTTTCCAAACCAATCATTATCACTTGCATTTGCTTCCAAACAGACAAAGCCTCGCCTGATGAAGTGGAGGAGTTCTTGTCAGAGATAGCAATGATGAAGAGGGTAGGACGTCATCCCAACATTGTCACCATGCTGGGATGCTGCACCCTCAAGCAGCCATACTGTATGCTTATGGAGTATGTACCATGTGGTGACCTTCTTCAGTATCTTCGTCAACTGAGGGTGGAGTACGAACGTCGTACTGGAGGCGAACTTGCTATTTCCAGTACTATGAAGCGTCCTGTTCCTCGATATGTACCTCTTCAGCCTCCCTCAACGTGAGTGAGACAGGGAAATCAGTAATGTTAGAGGTGGCAACATAATAAGTTTTGAGATCCGTGCTGGCTATGTAGTTCAAGTTGGTGGGTCTATAAATATGACAACTTTTTTAATACTGTCAATCATCTTCAGTCCCTTCAAACGTAATTATTCAGAAACTAAATTCCTTTCTGTCATTGGATATTTGAATTTAAATTTCAATTCATATTTTGTTCCATAATCCAAATACAGGTTGACATCATAGGATATGGAACAAGTCAACCACTAATACATAATATCTGTACAATAATAGTTTTGGTTGGAAAGTTAATAAGATTATAAGAAATGGTAAGTTTCCTACTCAACTGTGCTGTTACAAAGTGCTAATCTCAATCAATGGACACTGAAAGAAATTCTTAGAACAGTATATATTCCGTTAATTTGCAGTATCCTCAGCAGGAGATAACACTAGAAGAGTGTTAAAAATATTATGACAGATGCCATAAGAGAATGAGACTGAAAGTCTTATCTATCATATATAGAGACCTAGGCCTCTCTAATGGCCATTCATTTGCCACTATCGTTTCTGATACTCTCAGAACTGTCCCATCCTTTGTGTGTGTGTGTGTGTGTGTGTGTGTGAAAAGGGTTGAGGGTTAAGCACATCATCTTTGAAGGCTACTTCTGTCTAAATGAAATCCAATAAAATTAGTTACTTAGCACAGAGTGTAACTAAATACTGTATATATGAGTATATCAAACAAAACAAAAACCTCCCTGATTTCTTAGTCTGCAAGAGAACTATACCGACCGAGAGACCGCCACTTGTCGGCGAAGTTAGAGCGAAATTTTGCAGAGGGTGTCACGTGATCAGTGCAACGAATCCCCATGGCCGTTAATCTCGGTTTTCTAGATCGGAGCTGCTACTTCTCCATTCAAGTAGCTCCTCAATTATCCTCACGAGGCTGAGTGGACCCCGTTCCAGACCCACTGTTTCTCAGAAAATGTATTAGCGCCGGGAATCGAACCCGGGATCTCCGACCTGTATATCAGACTGTTTAATGGGCAGACAGCTATAAATAAACAGTTATTGATGTCTCTGCATAACACAGTTATGCAATACTCCTATGAGATAAGGCAGTATTTAATTTTAAGTCGAACAAAGACATGAGGTGTTTGTTTACATGATTTCAGAGATTCAGAGGGCTCATACGTGCAGCCTGACACCCAGATGAGTGGTTCAACTGGACGACCATCTATCGCAGAGAGTGAGTAAAAAGAGTAGTGAACATTATGCCTGCAGTCTTCTGGAACCTGACACCACTTAATCTGGTACAAGGTTGCCAATATTTTGCAGGAACCTGATTACTTCATCTTAAGGGTGGAAAAGGTGGAAACAATGTGTTTCTCTGAAACACTGCCAACAATCTACCAAACAACACAGCATCATATCACGGAAGGCCACAGTCCTAGTATTCAGCACTGTTAGAAACTTAAACCCCAATATAGGATTTGATGTTCTCCCAGTAATGTTTATGAATAGTTCTATGTTTTGGGAAATATCGCTATATAGTCCACTGAAAGTCAACCAATATGATGGCATGTTGATTTCATGTCAGCATGCTCTCTGCTTCATGCTGGTTTCTTGCTTAACTTACTCATCAACCCTGAAGATGTAAGGGACATATTCTTCCAAACTGCAGGATGGATTTCAACAAACTATATGGTGTTACATCCCAGAAGACAGAAGTCCCCCCTTTTCTCCAAAAAAAAAAAAAATCATATGAAGGTTTCCTACCATTCTATATTTATTTATGTTTTCACCATGTATGGTGTTTTATGTTTATGTTGACAACATTGTTATGCTGTTTATGTAAACTACAAGGATTTCAAGGAAGCTAGGAAAATGTGAAGACAGATGTTCACAGCTTGGTGGCTTAACAGGGCTTGGTTCAGATGGTCTAACCATTGCTACTCCTTTTTTTCTTTTTTATCTAATAGTTTTGGACATATTTCATTCAACCATGGCATAGGCTTCTTCAGATTCATTCTAACCTAGACTCTCTATGTTGGCAGAAATATTTATATTTTCTATAATAATCGTAGTTTCCCCAAGCTCTATAATGTCCACGTCATCATCCAAGTTGTTCAAAGCTGCAAACCCATTTGAGATTTCAACACCATACTGTTCGTTTCCCCTAATCTTCTTCAATTTCTTGAGATTTAAGCTCTCCATATGAAATCTATGAGTTGCCTGTTAACTCACTGCCAGTCTCTACTTAATTTCTGCCTCCACCAGGCATTGGTCAGCATCACAGTCTGCTCCCCTGAATGACTGAACATCAGATACACTTGAATGCTGTCTCCTATCTATCAAAATATTGTCAATTTGATTGCGAGTCTTTACATCAGGAAATAAGAAGTGAAATTTATGAATGATAGGATATGGAAACACTGTACTTTTGACAGATTTTCTGGATGTGTCAAAGTTTACTACTCTAACTGCATTATCATTAATAATTTCCTGTAAACACTCGTTTTCAATTATTGGTTTGAAAAAGTTTTCCTTATCTGTTTCGGTATTGAAATCTCCTAAAAAGAGTTTCGTATGACATTTAAGAAATTTATTGAACACATGTTCTAGTTCCTCATAGAAACTGTCTTCCAGATAATCAATTTTATCCTCTCTTGAGGCATGAACATTCAGAATATTAATATCAAATCAGAGACCTCTTATTGCTATGTATGATATCCTATCACTAGCAAACTCTGTCCTCTTAAATGCTGATATTATCCCCTTATGTACAAACAAAACTGTACCTAATTTATGATTCTCATTCCACTTTGCACAAAAAATTTATATTTGCCTGCTGGTTTAGGGCCACCATTGTCCCACCTGACATCCTGTATTTCCACTAAATCTAAAATAGACTTCTTACATTCCATGTACCAAACCTTATATCCATTTTCCTTAGCATAGATCATTTTTTTTTAATTTGTCCTTTGTACAATTCGTAACAAACTTGTTTTTTTTTTTATGGTGAGAAGTTATTAGCACCACGTCCAAGCTGAAACAGCACCTTGTCGGCTGTCTGAGATTGCTTATTCAATATAATCATAGCCACAATCTATATCTGAAAGCTGCCTCCTCAATCCACAACCTGAGGAAGTGTCACACCAAGGTGACAATGAACCCAGTTAACTTGGAATATAACACCATCATTGTCATAAAAATACATTTCCAAATTCTTGTTATAAATATCAGTCCACAAGAATTTCATTTTTGTACTTTCAAATTTTAATTAAATCTTTTTATTGTGGTAGACATTGCTCTCAACCTTTGTCTGCTATAACATAAGTAAAATTATGACTCAATTCCATCAAATAAAACAATATTTTTTGATAATAAAATAAAGCCATTTCAAATTTCGATTCCTAGCGTTTTAACCCATTCAAGACAGCACAAGCATGTAATTGCATGTGAAGCGTGAAGCATTTCCTTTGAAGTGCTGGTCTTTTTCCGATAATGGCCATCATTGACCAAAACATGTAAAGGTTATATTTCATTATTAAAAAGTGTTACTGTATTTGAGGGAATTTAATCCTGATTTTACTTACATTAATTAAATCTCTTTAACTGAATAACATGCCATGAATTATTTGTTATTCTTACAGCTGAATGGAGCTTGTTGACAAGTGAAGGTCCTCTTCTCACGCCATCGGACATAGTACCCATGAAGAAACTAGAATATGTCCTGGATCCTAAGGAGCTGCAAAGTTTTGCAATCCAAATAGCCCGTGGAATGGCCCATCTAGAGCGGAAACAAATCACACATAGGTATTACATGCACAGTTTGCAAAACTACATATAAAAATATGAGGAAACAGAAAGTTGTGTCACTAATGCAGGGAGTATACACCATGAATCACGAATCAGGTAGTCACAAAATTCCACATCTTTTATGGAGATTCAAGATTCGTCCCTGTATTCATAGGGCCTATTTATGTCACTTTTTCTTTCTTTGACATGTCCACCTTTATGTGTATTGCCTAACAACCACTCCTCTAGATCTACCTCTGCCTTCCCAGAGCTTCTCCTAAATTTCAGCCCATATTATTCCTTCCTCGGTGACATCTTCCCTTGCACCGCGCCCTTCGTCTTCCTCTCCACTGATTACTATGAATCATACTATTACGAAGAGGAAGGGCACAGCGCAATCGTTACTGGCTCTATTGTCGGTTCGCACGCTCCCCTAGATGGAGATGGGGTATCCAAGCTAGGAGGAGGAAGCTACACTCAGTTCAGTGGCTAAGATAAAACAAATACAATTTTAATAACAAAATATACAGTACATAAATAACAAAAAAGACACTTTGACCCAAAAAAAAAACAGACAACCAATTTCGCGTCGGCACCCCTTGTGTCGATGCTAGAAATATCAGGCCATACAAATGCAAGTCTAAATTCTGAGACAAAATAAACCCCCATACCAAAATTTAATACGCGCGTCGCAAGCGTTCATGCAACGACTTGCGACCGCCGGCAGTCCTTACCGGCCAGCAGATAACACCAAAGGGAATTTAGAGCAGCCCCCGCCGAAAGCAATATTTTCCACCACAAACCTGCTGGCTAGTAAACAACCTTCCAAGTCGACTTGGTCTAAAAGACTGCACTGTACAAGTCTCCCCTTCACAAGAGGGTACATGGGACCACGTGACTGACGTCAGGGTACCGCATAGTGGGGATGGAATCCGTCACAGGAAGGATGATGACCTCATCGTGAGCGAGCTAAGGCTTAGCACGGCTCACCCTAATCTGTTGTTATTAAATATTCCCAAAGAGTAGTAACATTTTCTCACATTCTTTATTCCTCCTGCAATTTCTTGTTATACATTTTTGTTTTTACTGTTTTACTTCCCAAGTATTATGAGCCGGGATAGGATAGTCAGTATAGCGACTGGCTATGGGCTGGATGACTGAGGGGTCAGAGTCCTAGTCCCAGTGGGGTCAAGAATTTTCTCATCTCGAAGTTGTCCAGACAGGACCTGGCATCCACCCAACCTCCTATCCAATGGGTACTGGGGGCGCTTTCCCCAGGGTAAGGCAATCAGGGTGTGAAGCTGACCAGTCGCCTCCAGCTAGTGCCGAGGTTAAGCATATGTGGAACTGTACATCCACTCCCCCATACACCTTCATGGCATAGTGCTTAATTAGTTAAGCACATGGACAACTTTTCCTCTTACTTCCAAAATATTTGAAATTGTCCTCTTTTGCTTACTTTTACATTAAGTATACAATTGTAAGACGCATAAATACAGTCAAATAAGAAAATTGCTGTAGTCTGTAATCGTAATCTGTATTACGATTAGTCTGTAGTCGTAATCTGTATTATGATTAATGTTAGACATCTGCATGGAATCTAAAAGAACTTTGACCAGAACATCCCCAGTGAATTTTAATTTTGATGAAGTGCTTATTTCTTGTAAACTGTACTAAAAACAAAAGGAGCACATTTTGTTAAAGAAATATATTGCAGGGACCTGGCAGCACGTAATGTTCTTATTGATGAGCACAAGACACTGAAGATCTCAGATTTTGGTCTGTCACGGTCTGGGATCTATATTAACACAAAGAGGAAGAAAGTGCCATTGCGGTGGTTGTCACTGGAGGCTATGCGTGACAACCTCTACTCCAGTAAAAGTGACGTATGGGCATTTGCTATTGTGCTGTGGGAGATCGGCACACTTGGTAAGTAAATTCAACAGCATGGGACATTTCTGGACCTGCAGATTCAGCTAGTCAAGAAATGTAAGATTTGAGGTCTGCTTGTACCGGTTCTCACAGTCTCTTCCCTTACGGATTTCTTATTTTCCTTCTACCATGAATATGGAGGCAATACGTTCCTCCAAAACGTCGGATAACACCACATCCACACGGTGTCACATCGCAGAAGACTGCTTTCTTCATAGTCAAGAAATGTTCTGCTTTTTTGAAATTTGAGGACTCACCAGTTTCTTCACAAAAGCCTAAAACTGAACTCAGTCTTTTGCCAGTTGAATGTAGTTGGCAGGAGATATGAATGAACTGTTTATATTATATTCACCCTATAAAGTATTTGTTCACTGACAAAATTTGGTGAGTGAACAGAATTTCTAGTTTTACTTTTCACCAGTTGTACGTGTTGTTCTTCTGAATTTCATGTGTTTCTTGTATAACTGGTTTCCATACTTATTGACATTTCTCTTTTCAAGTATGAAACATATGTATGCAGCTGTCCAGTGTATTCATATCTGTTTCCAGGTGGGTTCCCATACCCTACAGTGAGTGATATGGATCTACTGAACTTCCTCCTAGAAGGGAAACGTCTGGAAAAGCCAGATAATTGCTCTGATGAACTGTAAGTTAGCATTTATTGGCAATGCTTTCATATGCATCATCGGGATTTTTAACCAAAGAGGAACAGTCAGTTACGTATTAAAGAGGGAGCTCCTAGAAATTTTGTTTACAAACATATATTCAAGCTAGACATGGAAGGATTCTGACGATGGTGTATACTGTACTTCTTTTGGCTTATTTTGGACTTCATCCATCGTTTGGTATGTAAAAGACAAAAGACCACGACGTTTCGGAGACCGGATCTCTCTCCGTCTTCTGAGTAGGTTTATCCTTCCCTACCCACCTGAAGACGGAGACAGATCCAGTCACTGAAACGTCGTGGTCTTTTGTCTTTTACATACCAGACGATGGATGAAGTCCAAAATAAGCCAAAAGATATATTCAAGCTGTTCAAGACTGTTTTAAATAATCATCCAATGTATTCAGGATAGAGTGATACATTTTTAATACTCCTAAGTTATGCTATTAATATTTGGCATATTTCTTTCTTATTTATTATGATTGAATTATCTATGGTTTGCGGAGAGAGCACCAGCTCCCATTAATGTATTGAACTACCATACTGGCACAAGTATGCAATTTAGTTGGCTGAGCACTGAATTCTTTCAGCATTAGCAGAGTTGCCAGTCCCACAGCACCAAAGGAATTAAAATCCCTTATTCTTGGCTAATAAGGTTTAAGTGAATGTGATCATTATCCATATAACTCATTTTTATTTACACCACAGTGGTTATTTTATGACAACCCTTCCCCATTCATCCCCAACCTCTCACAAGAATTTTCTTGTATGTATCTACACCCTTTACTTACTCCCATTTAAACACATTTTCCTCCATTTGATCTCTCAGCCTTATCTTTGACCTTTCCAGTGGCTGTTCCCTTATTTTTGCACAAAAAAAAAACGTTAACATGAATAACCATCATCTTTATCAACCAATGTGCTGGTAGTTTGAATCTCTTAAACATCAAAGAATGACATTTCCAACAATGACTGGAGAGCAGCCATGCTGGAAACTTGCCACACAATTTACATATTTCTTTCTACAAAATTTGCAATTGCTTTAGTACAACCAGTAATTATACATTAGATTAACAAGTGCAACACCTGAGAGAGAACATAACTGGAACAACAACAACGATGGCAATGAAAGTGATGACAAGAATAACAGCTTCTCTTCCCTGATTATATTGTGAAACGATTTACATTTCCAGCATTAATAATGAAGACATAAGAAATTAGTGCCCTAAATATGACGTAGTCATGATGGCATAGTAAGAGATAGTACTTCATGCCATGATCTTATTCTGTTTCAGGTATGCATTGATGCTCCATTGCTGGTCACATTCTGCAGACATGCGCCCTTCTTTCGCAGAACTGGTCTCACATCTTGATTCAGTAATATGCAGAAAGCGAGTTTACGTAGATTTTACTTCACTGAAACCAGACTACAGTTTTCCTCCTACAGAGCAACTGGCCCCTATACCTTTTACTGTGAAACCATCTAAGTGAGCTAACACACCATTTGCTTTGAAATGCAAATGGGGAGAGTACAAGACTGCAACTAATTGTGGGTAGCTCACAGTTGATGTGTCTACCTCACTGCCAGTAGGTCTACAGATTGAACTCTGTGACCAGCCATAAACAATGTGCAAGTTCATGATATGATTCAGTTAAATTAGGAAAATGGTATCATGTACTTAAAATGGACACCGTTCTGTGCAAGGAGTTCACCTGAGACAAGAAGAATGATCTTTCTTGTCCATTAAGAGAGATACTTCCAACTGATTTGACTGATAGTAGCACTTCATGTAATTTTTTACAATAAATTTATTTTAAAATGGTCCTTAACATAGCATGAAGTTCTACCTCTGTCTCCTCTATGTACTTTCATGAGGTGGCGCTTTGAAGCAAGGGCTCTAATGGATATAAGTCACGGTAACTCAGTCAGGAAAGTGAGTCGATATGGACCTGATGGCCGGAGTTTTGTTCCAAGCAAAGGTATGGGTTTCTCTTTTTACCACTAGATCAATAGTTCCTCCGGTGTACATCAAGCCTTCTATGCAAAGGGTATTTGTGGTTCTTTCCCAGAAGTTATGATTGCTAGAGCATCAACCTTAACACTTACTTCTCTCTAGTACAAAATCTAATAAATCATGAAGCTTTACCTCCATACCCCCATGTTCTTTCACTATAAATCTTTTAGAACCAGTCTTAAAAACAAACATATGCAAATACTATTAGTGAATTCTTGATCTATTAAAATTTCAATTTGTATTTAAATTCTTTAGTTATGAAGAATCTATATTATGTTAATGGTATAGTTTTACCCTCCAGTGCCAATGACCGGTTATGTATACCAATGCAAAATAACAGACACGTTGACCAGACAATGGTAGCACATTACACATTTCCTTTAACTGTAAATTTAATTGGTTTTCCACTGTGCAAGTTAACCTTTTGACAGTTATAATCATACAAAAGTATTTGCTTACATTGTTAAGATTTTAAAAAATTTGTTAAATAATCCAAGAATCATTAATTCAGAATTCATAAGAATTAACTCTATATATCATTTAATTTGCATAATGTCCTTCAGTATGTAACAAGGATACATGCAAAGAAAGTTTGTTCCACCTGACTTAACTTTTTGTGTTACTTTTGTAAATGTCATATAGTATTTTCCATTAGCTTTACCTTTCAATTTTGTCTATGTCAGAAGAACTCAAGAATGATCAGACTGAAAATAAAAAAGCAGCAGCAAAAAATGATGCTGATGATTTCGTTTTCAGTTCAATGCAATGCAATTACAGAGTCAACATGAATACAAACTAACAATAACAAAAATACACTTTGTCAAATACTAATAAATAAGATAAGGAAAAATATAAATTATTTCAGGTGATTTAAATTTAAAGTTTTATTTCTAAAAATATTTCAATTTACAATTTTTTTTTAAATTTTTTTAGTGGGGGGTGGAGTCCAACTGGGCCCACTTGGCATGGCGGCCACTGATTGGCCTATTGTACCTGCCCCGGGTGATTATGACGATGGAGAATTTGGTGGAATGAAGATTGGCAGGGGAAACCGAAGTACTTGGAGAAAACCCGCCCCAGCGCCACTTTGCCCACCACAAATCCCAATTGACCAGACCTGGGATCGAACCCGGGCTGCTGCGGTGGGAAGCCGCTTTAGCTATGGTGCGGCCTTTGGATTTACAAACTGTATTAACAGTAGAAGCACACCTAGCTGAACAACGGTGACTGTAAGAGACACTGAATACAGAAATGTTATGAATGTTCCAAGCTGGAATGTGAGTACTGACTTTTTCAACAGTTGAAGGACAACATTTAATGTCATTGTAAATATTTATTCAAAATAAAGAATTTGAGTGATGATGCATGGCCTGCAGAATCTGTATGTATAATTAATCTAATAAATTGTAAAAATGACACTGACTATTCTGAAAGAAATAATGTGGCTGGTGTTTTTAGGCTGGTTCGTTTTCTCTATTCAGGCAAAAGGAAAAATCATGGCTGTGGTCAAAACACGGTGATCAAGGGCAGCCCCTTAATCTTTTTAATGCTGGGGTGCCACCCTGGTTCATCTCTGAAGATATTAATCTGAAACATAAAATTCTAATAACTTGCAAAATTTCCAATCTGCGAGGTGGAAGACACCTTCTATAATTAGATATGTGCACTTCATGGATTGTTTGTCATTCAATACTGCACCTAAAAGAGTAAACATTCTGTTAGGTAATGAGAACGGCTTCATATCATGAATTTCATTTAGTTCTTTGAATTGGAACTGGATGCTGGACTGCCCTGGAACATTTATTTTTATAACTACATCCCTGGGGAAGATGTACCTGCTCTGTGGTTGTCTCTTCATATAATGACATCCCACACAGCATTAGTTTCTTGAGAGATGTCATTGATCATTATGACCAATAGAATTCTTCAGACACTGTTGTCTGTATTCATAACAATGAGACTGGATTATTTTGTCAGCTGAATAAAGTGTTACAGCTGGATAATATGACCATACAGTATTATGTTAAACATGTAATTACATTAGTGTTTTGATATAAAGACACATGCTCAAAAGTCTGTAGCATACTAGTCACTTGTATATGTGCATTTCAGAAAATCTGGGTGTCCTTGTGTGATAATCTGAATGTATAAGACTAACAGTAAGACATTCCTAATTATAAAAGTAATAGTATTTTGTATTGTATTTCAATCTAAAAGTAAGTGTAATAAAGTTCAAAATATGTTTACTATAATACAGAGAGGTTATAAATTCTTTAGCAACATTTAGTTATGTGCAAATACAAGATTCAAATCCTTTTGATCTCAATTCTTATGCACTTTAACTGTGCCTTGCAAAATTAATTGCATTATAATGCTAGCAGAGAAATTAATTTAAGTGCCAATTACATATGTTTCAATCGTGACAGATATTTTATTTTAAAATGTTCTATTATGTCAGGTTCATCAAAGAAATAAATTTAAGTTTTACTATAAAAATAACTTTATTTTCTTTACTCCAGAAAGAGGATGAAATTTATAACCTGAGCACTGTGTTGTGTTTTCTATATATTTTATATACTGCACCACTTTATCAACCAATATTTGTACACAACTCTTTACAGGTTACATGAAGTGTTGCAGTGTTGCATCCTGTTTGTGGTGCTTATAAACATGAGTAAAAATGGAGGGGTTATCTTCACACATACATTCGTTTGTGTGGTGGTAACTCCTCCATTTTTATATACATGCAATATCTTATCCATAACCCAACTACACGCTGCTCCTCCTCCTCCTCCTCCTCCTCTTCCTCCAAGTCAAGACATATAGCCAAGTAAATGCCAGGGCATTGAATGTAGCATGTAAACAATTATTTACAAGTGTAACTTGTGTAAGATGGTACAATATATATATATATATATATTGTACTACTTAAAAAATAGCCTGCTGTATATGGAAAGAGGATGTTGGTATCAAAATGTGGTATATACTTGTGATGAATGCTATTTAAAAATATAATAAATTGTTCTCCCTGGCACTGAATCCTATTTTGTAAACCAAAGGAATCCTTGCCAAATGCATATCTTATGAATTAATCAGTAGGTACATTGTCCAGTGATTATTCTGTATTGTGTACATATTCCATTAAGTTCAGAAAACATCATGACATTAATTATGAAACAAACTTTTCTATGAATATTATCTGTTACAAATTTACGTGTACTAGATATTTCGCTACAGATTGTAGAGCTTCTGGAAGTAAGAAATTACATAACTTTATTTAAGAACAAAAAGGTTTTCAGAACTGAAACCTCCTAATTATTGTTCTTTCCATATATTTGTGAAGGGACACTTTGGTTTCAATGTGTTAAAGAATGATGCCACCACTCAATACTCATCACTGCCGCTGAAGTCTTCATCATCGTCATCATCATCATTGCTGTCATCATTATCATCATCATCATCATCATATCATCATCTGCAAGGGTTGAGCTTGTTGGTCCAATCTGTCCTCAAACATCAAGCCATCTTCTTCTTGACCTTCTTAGATCATGTTTTCTGTTGGTTGATAATGTAAAATTTGCTTGGGAGCTCTCTCTGATGGCATCGTCGGAACATGTACCAGAAAATTGTTCTTCCTTTAACATATCTGTTTGTCTAACTTCCTCATTCTTAACTGTGGCCTTGTTTTACTACTCACATTGTGCCATAGAGCACAACTTGAAATATACTGCAGAAATCACAAATCTGCTGCTTCAAATCATCCTTCATCTGTTCTTCTAAGAGTTCTACATTTCACTGTGTACATCAGGCATGGCGGTGCCATGGTTTTTATAGAATTTTGACTTCATATCTCTTCTTGTTTTGTGTTCCAAATTTCTTTATTTTTCCAGGCTGATACTGGAACTGAACTGTTATTTATATCTTCTTGAGCATGTGGCATTAATACTTCACATCACAAGCATTTAAATTTTGAAAGTTGTTATATTATTTTCTCCTTTGTACTATTTTAAACCTCACTCAGTACATCCCTTTAACGGTGATGTTATATTTTTTTTGTAGAAAATTTAAGTGGAATGGTTTAATTACTTCTTCCAATAAATTAATTTCCTTTGGAATTCTCTCTTCTTTTATCAGTACTTCTAACTTGACCACCTGTGAAAAGTATTGTGTACAATAGGATAGAGTTTATTTTAAAATTGTTTATCATACTTTTCTGCCATTCCATTATCATTTCTTCTAAATGCAAACCAAAGAGCATGGGGAGTTAATGGACATTCTTGCTTAATTCTCTGATATACTTTAATTTCTCTGAACTTTTAGCTCTGCTCAGTACTGTTACATACTGTACTATTGTAGGACCAATAAGAGTAAGACACAAAAAGGGATACTGTATTGTTCTTTTTTTTTTTTTTTCTTTTTCTAACTAGTACTCCTATGTTTAAGTCTGAGAGGGAAAAAGAGAAGAAGTGTGCTGGCAGACTGGTAAGACTCCAGATCTGTATTCAGGAGACACTTGGTTCAAATATAAAATAGGACACCAGGTATCCTGATATACACATTTCTTTTGCTTTCCTCAGTTTCTCCTGGAAAATTGTTGGATAGTACCTCCATTAGGCCATGACTGCTTCCAATTCATCATTCATCCATCATTCTACCATTAAATACTATATTACATAGTCTGGCTACTGACAGTGATGTAAAATAAACCACAAAGAAAAGTACAAAAGATGAAAATTGTTTCACAACACAAATGTAATTAAGATTATTATTGCTTTGTTATTGCTCTCAAATTATTTTATTTATTTAAGAATAATTCCTGCAAACATATCTGTGGCTGTCTGTGTGTGTGTGTGTGTGTGTGTGTGCATAAATTATGGTTGGCTAGAAGGCAAAGAATGAGGTGGGCTAGCTCAGATGGTATAGTGTATAAGCTGTGGACTGAATGACCAAGGAATCGGTGTTCTATTCCAAACAGCATCCACGGTGGTAACAGGGCTCACTAAACCCCTGTTCAGTGGGTAATAGCGACATTTATCTTGGGGTAAAGAGTGACCATGGCATGAAGATGACCATCCACCTTTACAACTCATGACTGTATGGAAATACGTATACCTCCACTCCTACATATGCCTTCATGTCATGGTGTGTAACTAAGCATAGAAAAAAAAAATTACCTTTTAGGACCTGCCACCGTGCTTTATTCTGAGCAATTTCAAACAATTCCACATTCCACTTCCTTAAGGTGGACAGAGATAGTAGCTTTCAAACTAGATAGTTTGAAAGATACTATCAGTGGCAGGTCCTAAAAGGTAAATTTTTTCTGTCCTTAGTTAGTTAGGTCTAGTTTCTTTCCTTCAGATTATCAAAATTTTTAACACTTTTCTCATTAACAATCAAGTTCCTTCCGTCAAATGTGACACTTTTATAAGTTTTCCACCTCGGAACTGCCAGAACAAAAACATCACACCAAGGTATGCCAACCTAAAACTAAAAGGCTCTAATAACGCAACAAAATTAACTCAGAAACAACTTATAAAAATTAGAATAAATAATGAACTAAAATTTCTATATATTAAAAAACAAAACATTAATAATCAACTTTATAAATCACACCTAGAAAATGCCCAATACTGGCAAACCAGCTGGCCATTGATAGAAAACAACATAAATCAGATACTAAACGAGGAATCAAAAAAACACTATGAAAAACTCAATAACAAAATTAATAAACTAAAAAGCCAACTAAACGAAAACATCCAACCAAAGAACAAACAAACATTCTACCCACGCCTACACAACATGACCAAAATACAATTCACCGAAAACGAAACTAAACTATTAAACAAAGGTACCAAATTTAATATAGGAATACCACCTAAAAACCACATAAAGCAACTAATCTACGAAACAGAAAACGCAATAAGGCAAATAACAGACAACACCCAACAAGAAGCCATAAGGTACCTAGCAACAAAAAACATACAACAAATATTAAAGAACAAAACAACAAATAAGGAATACAAACAACATATACACACAACCAAACAAATAAAACAAAAACTAATACAAAACAAAGCAACAATTGCCGAAGCAGATAAAGGAAAAACATTAGTGATCCTTTACAAAGACGACCTAAACAAAAGAGTTAAACATTTCATTGACAATAATAATATCATGGAAATAAACAAAGACCCCACACTAAAATTCCAAAAAGCCGTTCAAAACGCGCTAAAACAATGCAAAACAATAATAAACTCCACAACAAAGAAACAGGTTCAACAAATGAACCCAAAAGCACCCAACATGAATGCAAAAATTAAAATTCACAAACAAGAGGCCCCAATCAGGCCGGTAATAAACAATACCAACGCCCCCACACATAAATTGGCAAAATACATACACCAAACACTAAAAAATGTATTAAACCTAAAATACGAATATAATATCACCAATACAGCACACTTCGCAGAAAACATTAGTAATCTAAAACTAAACACAACTCACAAAATAATAACAATGGACATTAAAGACCTATATGTCAACATTCCAACAAATGAAACACTCAACATAGCCAAAAACCTACTCATACTAAACCACACAGAAAGAAACACTAAAAATGAAATCATACTTATACTTAAAACGATATTAGACCAGAATTATTTCCAATATAACGATAAATTCTACAAGCCAAGATCAGGCATAGCCATGGGTTCGCCTTTATCAGGCATAATGGCAGAAATCTTCCTACAACACTTCGAACAATGTAAAATAAAACACCTACTTGAAGACAAAAACATCGTCTACTACAATAGATACGTAGATGACATAATTATGATTTATAATCAAACTAAAATAACACCACAACACATACTCAAACAATTCAATGAACAAAACAAAAACTTACAATTCACACTAAATGAGGAAACAAATAAACAAATAACTTACCTAGACCTAAAACTTACTAATGATAACGGACGAATACACATGGAAATTTACAGAAAACCTACATCAACAGACATAACAATAAATAACACATCATGTCACCCCCAAGAACAAAAACTAGCAGCATACAAGAGCTGGATACATAGACTACTTACCCTAAAGCTCGAAGATACAGCAAAAAATAAAGAATTAAACACCATTATCGAAATTGCACAAAACAATGGATACAGAAAAGATGAAATCACACGAATACACAATAAACTAAAACAAAAAATAAACAATCCAAACACTAACGAGAAAAAAGAACAAAAATGGATCACATACACATACACGGGAAATTATATAAGGAAAATTACTAAATTATTTAGGAACACAAACATAAAGATAGCCTATAAAACCAATCACACACTAGGCAAACTAGTACACGAAAGGAAAAACATCGATCCATATGAGCAAAGCGGAATCTACAAACTGACCTGCCAAAGTTGTCAAAAGGTATACATTGGCCAAACGGGCAGAAAACTGTCAACCCGATACACTGAGCACATTCGCAACATAAGATTAAATAAGGACGAATCGGCCTTCGCCCAACATATATTAAACACAAGACACCAATATGGGCCGATAACCACAGTCATGGAAATCCTCGAAACAGCTAAGAAGGGCAATTTAATGAATATAAAGGAGGATTTCCAAATATATTATCATAACAAACACAAAAAACTAATAGAAGAACAAAGACAGATAAAAGAAACCAATAATCAAAAAAACCTCTTCGAACTCATAATACAAGATTCGTACACACCCACACTAACGTCACAAACACAGGATACATAAACCACACGACAGCACTCCTTAAGCACACAAGCATCGCAACACACAGACAAGCAACATCAACAACCGACAGGTAAGGTTATTGAACCTTAAAAGTATATACACATAAAAAACTTATATAATACAATCTAAATAAAACCACAATTTTTATTTACAGACAACACACGTCAACAACATCCCGAAGAAAAAAGACTGGGCCAAGCGGGAAAGAATTCTAGGAATTTTAAGAATTCTTACTTCAAATAACGAAACATAATTTTTACAGAATTAACGACGAATTAAATAAGAAAGCTACCGTGGTGTGTGGAAAACCTTTAGTGAACCGACACTCTCGGCAATTTTAACTATTGTAATTATTTTAATTAACTGGAACGTGGCTATTTTTAACAAAGTGAAGTTTTGTGTGTTGGTGATTTCTTTTTCTACTATAAATGCCTCTGATGATGGCTCCGTGGTGAGCCGAAACATGTAAGGCAGGTGGTGACGAGGTGGAAAACTTATAAAAGTGTCACATTTGACGGAAGGAACTTGATTGTTAATTTGTTAGTGTGACGGACCAGAATGAAAGACCTTAAACTTTTCTCATGTTGCAATATTTTTATTCCCTATTCATTACTTCAAAATTTTATCTTTTTTTTTTTTAATTCGTTTAGTGGGAGATGGTGTCCAACTGGGTACACTCAGCACGGCGGCCACTGATTGGCCCATTGTAGCCTACCCCAGGTGATTATGATGATGGAGAACTTGGTGGAATGAAGATTGGCAGGGGAAACCGAAGTACTCGGAGACAACCCGCCCCAGCGCCACTTTATCCACCATAAATCCCACTTGACCAGACCCAGAATCGAACTCGGGCTGATCCGTTACCTTAACTATAGTTTCATAATCAAGTTTTTCACACCTAAGAGAATTATACTATTTTCAGAGAACAGATTTCTTCTGAAGAGAATGACAGTTGCTCAGTTAGTAAGGATATTTCTCACCTTTTATGGAAACCGAAAGTTCATTTTCATAGTCACAAAATGCCCTGTTATGCCCTGGGCCAGATGAATCCAGTCCATATCCTCACAGTGTCTTCAACTGTATTAATTAAAAATAAAATAATCAATAAAGCAGAGAAAAAGAATCATGACAGCAGGGCTCTAAAGTAAATGTTGTAAATTCACCAGGTATTTTAGGTTTTGAGGTTCTCATAGAGGTGGTTAAAATGAGTTCTATCTTATGGGACATAATGTCATGTAGTTTGTTGAAAAAGTCACCCAAAGTTTTGGAGAAATATGTAATCTCTAAAATGTTGGGTGACTTTCAATAGACTGCATGGCGTCATATCCTTGAATGTAGAACTTTTCCCCAAGTATTATTTTCAGCTGACTATTGTTATATGTGGAGACTGTGTTCCTGAAAGTCACAGTGTATATTTTATGCTTGTAAAATGGGGAATGTGCATATGTGAACACTGAGCATGGTGCAAAAGGAGTAGGAAATGGCATGAGTGAGTCCAAATGGTGGAAAAAGTCATGGATACTGCATTCACAAGTTACTAGGCATGCACAGTAGCAACTGTTGGCCCCTTAGACAGGAGACTAATGCTCCTCATGTCACTGAAATAAAACTGAGGATGTGAGAAAACACAGATAATGAAAGTGTATATAAAAATGTCTTCCATCCTCTTTCTGGGAGCCATCTATATTTTTCTGCCTCTACCTATATAAGAAACAAATATATATGAAAGTTAAATGTGCATTGTTCTTATTTAACTCATTGAAAATTATTATTTTTGTGTGACAACAATAAAATTTTTGTAATAAAACTGATATTCATATATCACCATAGTACAAAAATAATATTAGAGAGACTGTTAAAAAAATATTGTAAATATCATATCTCATTTGTCTTTGTGTTCATTCTCTGCAGGTACAAATCTGATTTCAGTTAGAAAGCCATCACTGGAAAGCAAAAACCAACATACACCATAACACATAGAGTAAAAAATATTTACACTTTCTCTATAAAAAATTCATAGTCTCAAAAAGTGTTTCAAGAAATAGTCAGAGATATTAATGTGGTTTATATTTTATGCCATATACAAAGGTTTTATAGGGTAAATCATATTGAGAAACTCGGTGACAATTTTATGTTGTGTCTGAGGCTTTCACAGTGACAACTATGAATAGTACTATTCTCTGGGATGTGATGTTTGATAAAGTCAAATATAAGTTCACTGATATTTTGAAGGAACATGTTAACTCATTTTCAGAGTCAAAGATTAAGCTGAAAAAGCAACCACAGATAACCAAACAGCAAGTACAGAGTGCAGTGTGTAGAAAACCTGTTTCAGATATATGCCTCTGTAGGAGCAAGAAGAAGAATAACTAGTACTGATCCTGAAAAGGGCCATATTTGCGAAAGTGGAGAGATCAGATTTTCTCTTTCCCTTATCTGTATTGCCTTTCTCTACAGTCCTTTCATTGTGCTGTTCATTTACTCAACTTGCTCTTTGACACTCTTTGACCATGAAGATGAGGACAGCATATTTCTCTGAATCATCAGTGAACTTCTATTGAACTGGCTGGCATCACAGCCCGGATGAGAATATTCTCAAAAATCATCTGAGCTCCAAATGAAGCACAGGCTGTACTGGACTGATATGAATCAAAGTTATACATGCCTAGTTGATTTTAGTGTAGACCCCCATTCCCCAGAACAAATTTCATCAAACTGAATCAGTTTGATTTGTGTCATTCTGGTCCGTCACAATAACAATTACAAATTATAAAACACTCCGTCCAATGTGACCTGTAAGTTTTTTACTACATAAAAACTTAACACCCTTACATGTTTCGGTCTCTGTGGACCATCTTCAGAGGGTAAACATCACTACAAAAACATGTAAGGGTGTTAAGTTTTTATGTAGTAAAAAACTTACAGGTCACATTGGACGGAGTGTTTTATAATTTGAAACTGAATCAGTTTTGTGTGTGAAATACACACATGATTTTCAAATCATTCATTAACCCTATGGCAGCAGTTTAACAAAATACCTGTTCATTTTTTCAACCTAAATTTAAAACTCTTGTGGGAACCTCATAGACATACCACACTCTATAATATATTTTCTTTTTCAGTCATATCAGGATAGTAAAAAGCGACTTCCTGCCAACCAGAACCAATCACAAAAATTAAAGCAAGAGAAATGTAAATGAAGGGCACATTGCAGAATATATCATATGTGACATGGAGAGGTAGAAAGCCACTCACTGAATATGCTGGAAGAAAGGCATAAGGGAAAAGCTCAAGTGCAGAATGTGTTGAATATGACATGGGAAGGATTAATTGTACACAACTGTGCAAAGAATTACAATATTGGTTTCAAAGAAACAATAAAAATCCATGCTGAAATTCATAACAAAATATAATATTATTGGTATTATATATGTTTTATTGTTACTGTAAACTTCACAGTATAGCTTTCATTACATACAAATTTATAATTTGAAAATCCCCGCTTGGAACATACATTTTTTATGCAAATCAATTTTGACTTTTATGATTCAGTGACCCAACTATGAAACATTCACAAACAATTTTGATAAAACAAGAGAAAGAAGCAGAGATTTTCAATTATGTACATAAGACATGAGAACTTATATACATAGCACAACATTCCAGTAATGATTTCAATTACAATGACTAAATGTAACCACAGTGATACAAATTGGATGACCATGACTGGAAGTACATGTATTTTTGTAGATTGTATCATCTACATGCACTGCATAGCAGAAACAGTGTGGAGAAAGGCCCTCTCATGTACAGTGTAAATAATATGGCAATTATTTTATTCATGAATAAATATATATATATATATATTTATTCTTACTTTCTGCAACGAAAATACAATGCAGTTTCTTTTGCCACACTGCAGAGAGCAGCACAAGGGCTCAGTTTGTGCTGCAATCTATTATTACAAGTAGCACAAGAAATTGCATTAATTGATAGAGTCTCGTTGTCCGTCCAAGTTCGTTTTAGTTTGTAATGAAACATTGATTAATTTAATTTGAAAGTGCTTAGACTACAACGTCATCTGTACATTGACAAATACATATGAGTAAATTTTAAGTTGGTAACAATTAGATTAGATTATTTTTGCAACTAATGAACATCTATTTTAAATTTTGAACAATATGGATATGTTATGTATATAATAATACACATGTTTAAAAAAATCCATGTTCTATAACCTAAATAATGTATTTGGAAGGCTTGTTATGTTCTCTGTCTGCCATATTAACATGAATAATCAATTACCAAATAAAACAGATATCTGCCTACGATTTTATTATATCAAGTATCCTTATAAAATATCTCAGATGCCTCCTGCAAATAGGGCATCAGGTTATTTGTGCGTGAATCTAACTACGTTGTTTTACATATGACAGGTTTCTGGTTGAAGCAGATATTCCTCTCACAACCATGATGTCCCAGTACCAAAAGTTTTATAAATAAGTGAACCAAGATAATCACACAACAACAGGGGACCGTTTCTGTTTTCGCGAACTCAACCCTGACTGTTTGACTGTTGCTTTTCTGCCAACATGTGTCTCCTGCTATAACTGCACATCTTTTATTTGCTGCTTTTGTTGTGTTGCCGAAATGGAGATGGGTCCATTACTACTACTGTTGATTATGTGACAAGTTGTTGTAAGTTTAGCTATTGATTGCTGCTGCTGCTGTGGTTGTTGTGGCTGACTGTTGGGACAGTTGGCATTACTGCTATTGTTGCTCACTCCTACTGTCATTGTTTGTGTACTTCGGTTCACTAGTAAACGTGGTTGGTGCCGTCGCTGCAGCTGGTGTACCACATCTTCTCGCAGTTCCAAGTCAACACCTGATCACAAAACAGAATAATGTGACTGACAAGAGCACATTTTAATTTTATACAGTGCTCTAATTTGGTGATGTGGAAGGGTACCCAGTACTGACACCTTAAGAAAAAGAAGAATCGTTGCGAGTATGAAGGGAGAAATGTACAGATGTAAAACAACACATTCTTACGCTACATAGCATGAAATACTGAAAAAAATCAACAAACTATAAATAAAATAAAATAATTAAAGATAACTAATACAAGCTGATGATGATGATGATGATGATGATGATGATGACAATAATAATAATAATAATAATAATAATAATAATAATAATAATAATAAACTTGCCTGTCAAAAACAAAACTTCTTCTTTGCATAATGACAACAATGTTTCCTCTCCTTGAAGTGTGGATATATCTTCTTTACTACATGTATCTAATATTCTTCTTCATGTAAGTTTTAAAGGCTTGAAGTAAAATAAAGATTGGAGGAAAAATGTAAACAATAAATAAATCTTCATAACTTCAACATAACTCTGTTAATACCAGGTTCAATGTACAAGAACAGAATAAAATGTGAAACTTCCCCTGTGCTTAATTAAGAATAATGTGCATATTAGAGTTGGAGTATGGAGCTATGTATTTGTGGCAATGGATGGAGATGAATGGTAAGCTTCACTCTCTACATATCGGAGAGGGATAGGGTGGGCACCAGAGTCAGCCTGAACACAGTGGTGATAACATAAGCCTCCAATTGTCAGTCGGTCTGTCAATTAAATTGCTGCTGGCCTTCGCCAGCACAGTCATCCCTCGCTTCAATCTCCTCAAGATATTTATTCTTGTTTACACATGCACGTGTTTCAAATGGGGCCTCCTCTTTAACGAAGAAGGGGTTGCTATTTGTACTGTAGTCTCAGCACTAGCATATCCATGCCGTCATGGCATTCTGGTCACTATGGACTCTGTGCACCCTTTGTCACTGAACAATACTAAGTAACATTTATACAAGGTAAACAGAGGTTTCCTGTCAATGAAAGCTTGTACAGCAGGTTATGCCTTCACTTAAGTAACTACTCTGAAACGTCAGCCGAATGGTCGTAGGCCTAACCGCCGCTAGGTTCAAGCCTTACTATATCTGGCTTCTCCTTGTCTAATACCAGGTACATTTGCATTTACATGGTGTAGGATTACTTCTGCCTGTGTCCCGCATAATTTAGTTATGTAGTTATACACTTGAGGAATTTTGAAAGCCACTTGTAATTCACGGACTTGTGTGAACCTGTCAAGATTTCCAGTAGCGCGAAGTATTCTGTTCTGCAGGTGCTTCAATTTCAAGAGATGAGTGTCCACTGCATACTCTGAGGCACAACAGGTATAAGTTATAACTGACCTAATAAGAGTTTTGTAAAAAGTAAGTTTAATATTTTACTTAAATGCAAACTTTTTAGTAAAGAATAGTTTCTCATGTCCATGCTCAAGGCCTTAGTTATAATCTTTTCATATGGTGTCACCATATCATCCTGATATCAAAACTGACACCAAAATACATTACATTGATTACAAAAGGAATGTTTCATCCATTTTGTTGCAGTAAGTTGACAGGGACTCTTTAAGTATTCTGCAGAAACAGATGGCTTGAGATTTCAAAGGGTTAATATCTTATAAAGTACCATTCCTCTGCTCTGTCACATCACAACAATAATTATTCATTAGAGAAGTGAGGACTATATGTGCTGTGTAAATGTGTATGTATGCATGTATTCTTGCATGTGGGATACTTGTGCAATTTATTTACATATGTAATACAATGCCAGCTGAAAATTCATGGGAAATTTAAGTGCTAACACAAAGTTGAAAGTGGAATAATTCTCAGGATTTTCTGTCATTTGATCATGATGTCTTATGTTGTGTGTACTCGTAAGTATAGTCATTCAGAAAAAAAAAACCTTTCAATTCATTTTGAATCATTAGCAGCTAATTCATAAGAAACTAATTATTTTATGAGTTGATGTCCTCACAGCAGTGAGTTTGCAGATTTCGGTATTTTGGGTTGTGACATTCTGTAATACTGAAGATTGGTACCAATGTTCTAGAGAAACTTAAACCTTGAAAATGGAGACAGCTTGTTCCTCCATAACCTTGGTATACACGTATAAGATCGGTATGCCACAATTCACAAACCACAATTTACATTGATGATTGTTAGATACATGTAAATAATTTAAAAAAGGAATTAAAAAACATAACTGCTATTGATGAAAAGGTCAGTCAGTTCACTTTTCATAGTTATTACTATATATAGCTCTGTGTACATATTTTCTGACGTCTTGTGGGCATATTTAATGAGAATTAATTTGATCTGCACTAATCTTAATAATAAATAAATCCTTTACCGTCACTCTGGAGGCCTGAATCAAGTCCCTGGGAGGAGCCACTCTGCTGAGGACCTGTAGAATGGAAAGGCTGCTTCTGCTGGTTGCAGATTACTGCAGCCATCATGCTTCCTGTCTGTGTTGTTCCAGTTACAGCAGGGCTCTTGGTGGCATTGTATCGTACCTGAAGAACAACATCAACTGAGATAGAAACAACATCTGATCCTGCCAAAATTCAGTGAACATTATTTATTTACAGATAGTGTGAAATGAATAGACTGTAGTCTAGTACATTAACTCAAATCATCCTGTTAGTCAGTTTTAAATGAAAAACCTCAAGATTGAAATATCAAATATTATAATCAGGGATGAATAAATGTTAGCACAGTTAACCAGATACATAGAATTTATACTCACCAGGCATATCTCCACAGTATGAACTGTATCCATGTCATTACAACTGCTCTACACCAGCCTACTTACCATCACATAACATGCAAAACATGTGAATTATTGGGCCTATACTATATGTGTACTCTACTTGCAAAGCTGGACACCTCCCAAAAAAGCTGATGTTTCATTTGTTTTACTCTGCAGTTCAGCCATGAAAGGATTCTCTGGCTCTCATGTAAATTTTTACCTTTGAAGATGGATGGATTTCCAATATCTACACACTGGATCATTAACTGCTCAAATCAAATCAAATCAAAAGACAGAAAATGGAAGAGAGTATTAAAAGATAAATTTCAAAAAATTTCCATTTGTTGACCTTGGTTTTTATGCCCAAACGGATGTGTGGATTTGCTGAGTCCTGACTTACAATAGTCTACATTTATTCACTTCGTTATCAAGCCTGATCTTTCACTTACATATACTGTGGGCATTTGATGATAAAACTCTGAGAAAGAAATTTGTAAAGTATGAACTTACTGGCATCATACTCTGACGCACGTTACGTTCTGGGTGAACAAGTATGATGTACAGTTTCGGTGAGAAGAGACATGCAAGTGTTACACTTGCTGACAAGCTAATTGTCACTGACATACTGGTGATCCTCAGTGGCACATGGTTTCCTGTTCCAAAGTAGAGTGGCACAAAAGCCAACCAAATCACACATGTAGTGTACATTGTAAACCCTGTAAAAGAAGAAATGAACTGGGATAGAATTCTATAAATAGAACTTAAGTCTAGCAGCAACTTATGACATCTTCCCATAGTCTGACAATATACATACATACACCCATTTCATTTCATAAGTCCAAAACAAATGTACATAAAGGTCGTCATATAAAAAAAAAACACAAATACAAAAAATTTAAACAGATAACAGAATAATTTAAACTAATTGTTTATGTTATGCTCCACATATTCAGAAACTGTATAAAAGGAATTATTCATAAGATATAAAGACAGCTTATTTTTAAAACTAATTCTATCCTCTTCAAGGCTTTGAATGGTTATGGGCAATGTTGAATAGTTTAATGGCAGTAAACATAGTACCTTTCTGAAAAGCAGACAGATTCGAGTTTGGCAAATATAATTGCTTTCGATTTCTTGTATTCAAACCACGAACATCTAAACCTGTACAAAATTTAGTTTGATTATCAATCACAAACATCATCGAGAGAATGTATTCACATGGCAATGGCAGTATATTCGATTTCTTAAAAAATCCCTATATGAGTCTCTAGGTCCCACTCCAAATATAATCCTTATTACTTTTTTTTTTTTTGTAATTTAAAAACTCTAAAATTATTCGTTGAGTTGCCCCAGAAAATTATTCCATACTTAAGAATAGAGTGGAAATAAGAAAAATACAAAATTCAAAAAAAATTTTTACTCATAAAATAAGATAAACTCCTAATTACAAAAATAGCTGAACTAAGTTTAGGGAGAATATACTCTATATGACTCTTCCAATCCAAATTCTTATCAATTTGCAGACCCAAAAATTTTATCACAGGAACTTCATTTATAAACAAATTCCCGCTGGCAACTGCCAGAGACTTATAAGACTGTTTTAGAGCAAATCTAATATTTAAGGCTAACTTATTAGCTGTGAACCAATTTACAATAAGAGACAGTGTACTCATGACTTTATGCTTAAGCTTAGCATGACTATTACCGGTAACCAAAATACTGGTATCATCAGCAAAAAGAAAAACTTTAGCCAGTTTATTAATATATGGAGGCATATCATTAATGTAAATAATAAATAGAAGTGGTCCCAAAACAGACCCCTGAGGAACCCCTTGCTTAACTCTTTCCCAAGATGGAAAATAGTCCTGACAGTCATTAGTTTTAATGTGCGCTCTCTGTTTTCTATCCAAGAGATATGATTTGAACCGGTTTAATATACAACCCTGGACACCATAATACTCTAGTTTAGATGTCAATATCTCATAATTAATACAGTCAAAAGCCTTAGCAAGGTCACAAAAAATCCCTGCAGTTTGCAGTTTGTCATTCCGGACCTGAAGTATGCCAGTCATAAAAGAAAAAGCAGCATGGTCTGTTGAGAAATATAATTATTGTAAGGGGCAAGATATCCATGCAAATAATTAAGACACCATGAAGCAACACTGCTTGGTCATCATACTTTTCAGACCTGAAGATGGAAACATTATATTCCTTTGAAATGTTGGTGAAGTTCTACCAGACTACATAGCATAATATACCAGAAGATATTGTTCTTCCATCATAAGAGATGGTACAAATATTCCAAGTGATGATGGATAAGATGTTTGTACAGGGGAGTCACATCTTATTTTCGGGGTTATGTTCTGCAGAAAGCATGTAAATTCAAAATCATATATAGTCAGGATTACCCTTGAAAATCCCTTACATTGCCCATCAACTATATGCTTTTTACATACCCAGTTACATGTAAGTATTTAATGTTTATGATAAAGAGTACATATAAAGTAAAATGTTTCATGTTTGTGCCCTTTTAAATTACAAGTTCCAACAAATTTCAATTATGAAAAAGTGACAAAATCTCATGCATGTTTCTTCCAATCGCACTTTTGTAATGGTCTAATTTATATTATGAGATCTGATGAAAGTTTAGTTTGTAGTTTTCAGATAATGAGTGCACGTAGTCTGGTAGCTGGTTACCAACAAACTCAAGTCCAGGTCTAAACCATCCGAACAGGATATCCTGGCCACGTATAAATGTAAAGACTGTCAAGCAAGTACATACCTATGTGTTTGGATTCATTGAATGCCTCTGGGATCTTGCGTGTGAGAACAGCATATATGGTACACACAATGATGAGTAGAATGGGATAGCCAAATGCTATCATATATGATGCATCAATATGAGATGAGCAGACCAGATGGTTATCTTCTCTTGTGGGGTAATGATGCACAGCCCTGGGTGGAGACACTAGGATCCACACCCCATTTATAAGGACCTGAAACACACAGCATACATTATCCAGTGTGCAGCGTAATAATTTTCAATTGTTTGTAATTTTGAAGGCTCAATGACCTTGAAGTCATTTATCACCAGTACATGCCTGTTATTGCAAAACTAAAAGTAATGCTTTGGACTTGTATTCAGGAGATTCATAGTTCAAATCTCAGTTGTGACACCAGCTATCCTGTGATTTTCCTAAACCCTCAAGGTAAATGCAAAATTACACCTCAGTTAGGCCAGGGCTGCTTCCTTCCAAATTCTTTCTTACTTATTAATCATCAATTATCCCAATATTTCATACTATGTAGCATGAAATAATGATGGTATCATAAAATGAACCACCACAATCCTAAACACTTCACTGATATTGCACTAAAGAGTCAAAAATTACCTTTCCTTATATTGTGTTAAATATTCACTAAATAAAAATTACAATTATAATAAGTAAATAATTTAATAAATGTAATTGAAATATTTCAATGAAGGACATATTTTACATTATATAATAATTATATAATTATTCATTCATCAGTAATCTGTCAAGACGACAGGTCCACAGTCTCTTCCAAAACAGTTCCTCCACTTGATGCGATCTAGAGCTTTCTCCTTCAAATGAAAATATCCTCTTCTGTCTCCAAGGTCATCCAGCATCTTCTTAAGTCTTCTTCCTCGTCTTCTGGTCACTTCTATCCGCTCCTCTATCTTATATAATAATTATGAGGAATGCGTATAGGATATTGGTGGGAACGCCAGAAGGAAAGAGACCACAGGGAAGACCAAGGCACAGGTGGGTGGACAATATTAGAATGGATCTTAGAGAGATAGGATGGGATGGTATGGATTGGATAGGGAGCAGTGGAGGGCTCTTGTGAACACGGTGATGAACCTTCAGGTTCCATAAAATGCTGGGAAATTCTTGAGTAGCTGCAGAACTGGCGGCTCCTCCAGAATGGCTCAGCCCCATGAGTAAGTAAGTAGGTAAGTAATAATGATGAGGGTACCTGCTATTTACGTCTGCAGTACAGATTTAAGAAACTGACCTGAACACCCACAAGTCCGCTGCAAATGAACAGCTGTGATCGAGGTGATATGAAACTAGGCCTCTTAGCTGTCCTCTTGCCTGCATTGAAGATTCTGGCTATGCGATTTGTTTTAGTCAACAATGCAGCATATACAACAGTGAAACAGAAACCTGCTCCAAACCTGGAAGAGTAACAAGAGTAGAACAATTTTCATCAAGGTATAAACTGTCACAGAATTTAGAAATAAAACTCCACTGTTTCTGTAAGTTCTTAATTCTAGGATTGCAAATTCAGTGTACCATGAACTCTAGGACTATCAGAACAGAAGTAATGGTAAAGATATCAGTGTTTCTAATTAATTAATGACAATGGTAGGAGAGATCTGAGGGAGAGGCGTTGCATTTCCACATATTCTCAACTTTGATATTAGATGGGCTTCAGTGATGAGGTTCACTGCCTGGTCACTTTACTGCAGTGAAAGGCCTCCAAAACCCAGAGTTTGTGAAGCTGACTGGGGCTCATAACCAGTCTAGAGGCTGTGGAAAAAAGATATATAAGAAGTCTAAATGTTTCCTCAGGCAATAACAAAGCCCACTGCCCTACCCTCCTCCAGTTAACAAAAGAACAAAGTCCACAGAATTTTTTCAAATTTAATGACACGATACATCCCAATGAAACAGTGATTGGCATCATCTCTTAAAGCAGATTTATTTACATTGTTCCATATTTGTACAGATTACTGCAATAATGGGCATGAACATAAGGAAAAATTAATTTTTATTTAACAAAAGAAAGAAAGGGAAGTTGTAAAATGTACCAGAGGGAGTTGGAGAGACTTTGTTTCTTGAGGTCATGAGAAAGTGAATATGCCAAAGGAAGTAAATGAATATTCACAAATATTGGGTTTGAAAGGAAGATTTCATGGCGTTTTTAAGGTAATACCACAGTATCTGTCTGGAAAGACAGAGGCCAGCTCAAGTCATTATGAACCTAAGGTGTAAGGATGGCACCTGGAACCTCCAAAATATGAAGTATAAGTGTCAGACGCTTAGCCACATACCTTTGAATGCCACAGACCACATCAGTAGGACGCAGAACCAAAGCAAAAGTGACACAGTAACAGAGAAGTATGCCAGTGAGCAGAACATAGCTGAGCTCCCGGCCTGATGCACGCACTACAGGTGTGTCATTGTGACGTACAAACACACCACAAACAAACAACGTGATTAGGATTCCAGTAGACGACAGAGACATGGCACCGATAGCAGGGCCACTCTCTGGTCTCAGGAACACCTCAGGGATTTCACGGCATGTAACACGTGATGCATCTGGTACCGTTCCCTCACGGCAAGTTAGACACTGTGTTTCATCAACTGGGTGCTGGATCTGAGAAAATTAACAAAAACCATTACAAGAAAAGGTAAGCCTATACAATACAATGACCAGAAAAATGAGGAATTTATATATCTTAACCCTTTGACTGCCAAGTCCCACCGAAGAACTACCCAGTAGAAAAGGCCAGGCTTCTCAGGAGACTATGCAGTTGCACACACACACAAAAAAACAATACTTTCTCAAATGACTTTCAAGAGAAAGCAGGTAGAGATCATACGTAAGCCTATTCTTTCCTTCAAATATTCGTGTGTTACACTTCACTCCATCTGTTCACAGAAATGCTGTACCAATTAATTAATAATGATACAATGCCTTCAGCAGTGGTAGTTTTTAGTGCAAGCATCGTGAAAAAATCTAGTCAATATGTGGCATGTAAAAGGTTAAGAAGGGACTCATACGAGGACACTCTACTAAAAGAGCGAAGGAACTGTTGAAGTTAAACAGGAACCAGCTACAATGTGTGGTGGGATTACTTACAGGACACTGTCACCTTAAAGGACACCTCTTCAAACTGGGATTAAGTGATAGTCCCACTTGTGAGAGGTGTCAAGAAGAAAATGAAACAGCCACACATATCCTGTGTGAATGTGAAGCCTTAGCTTATTTAAGATTACGTCACTTAGGTCAATATTTTATGGAACCAAGTGACTATTTCAACATCCCCATGTACAAAATCCTGCGCTTCATTTGATGCGCAGGATTGCTGAGGGGATAATCAGAAGGGGAGGCACAATAGATCACTGTGGTCACGGTGCAAGGGCCAAGAAGGCCCACCCCTTATACATACATTCATTCATTCATTCATTCATTCATTCATTCATTCAAAAGGTTAAGAAGTTATTAAAAATAATTATTTAAAATAGTGGCAACATAAGGGTATAAGACAGTCTCTCTGACTTTAACACTGAACTCACTTTCCCAGCCAGTGACAACGTCCTTACAAACATGGCTTTGATGAATAACTTTTGGTAGCATTTCTCATTTCTCGAAAGTGTGATAAATGTCCCCCTTATCTCAGCCAACTTAAGTTGATTATGCTAATAATACATTGCGTTAAATAAATAATGACACTGGAACTACAAATAAATAAATATCATATTGTTAACAGAGCTGACTTCTTCATGGGATCGTACTTTGACACAGGGGCAATATTAATGTACCTGATATTGTGTGCAGTTGAAACAGTGCCAGCAGCAACTTTCCCCCTCCACAAACTTCTTGGCTTGTCCCACATCACATGGCAGACTGCACACTGATTCAGGTGGCTGTGGGTGACCCAGTTTGAACTGGATTTCTGCAAAGAACCAAAAGAACTTTAGACATACTTGGCAACTCAGGGAAGAGTTATGAATGTTATGGACTCATCATATAATGGTGTGATAACAGCAATCAGTGAAAAAGATTACAGTATTTTCAGAATGAAACTTTATATCAGATGGACAAATTGTAATGACAATACTAGGGCTGAATGAATGACTGAGATGTGGTATTAGCAACCCAACAGAACTGCAAAACATTTTTTTCTCTTACGTGCAGCACTTACGGCAGTGTTGAACCAAGTTCTAATGTAATATTAGGTGGGTACTTTAAGAAACAGAAGGTAAGTACATATTTTTTGGCAGCAAGTTAACATAATCTCTTGTATAAATTTATATTTTATATACACTATAATGGCTTATGTCATGTGGATGGCACCTGAAGATAAATTAAAAATGGTTTAACACAAGTGAAGCTTGCTTCTTATCAGACATATTAAGTTACAGTTCATACTTCTTGTATACCTGATTACATCTTACCAGACATGTTAAGCCATAGATCACCTTCCATGTGTCTTACCGGACATGTTAAGACGCAGCTCGCCCTCCATGTACTCTCCGACCTTGATCCACTGGAACTTTCCAGGACTTGTTTGTTTGAAGTGAATGATATTATAGCGGGCTGGGCCATCGCCATTTGGGTCAAAACGGAAATTGTCTCCACTCAAACCCTTAAAAGTCACTTTGCGCAAATACTTCAGCAGTTCGGTACCCTTGATGGGCTTCATTGCATCGCACAGTCCTGCGCGTCCTTTACACAACTCATGGTGCATGTCTCTGAAACAGGAATACAAGCTTCAAGACCCAGTGAAATAAAGACAACATGCCAACTTAAACCTCATGGAGTTTACATTAGATCAATGAACAGTTATTTGCTTTAACAATTTTAAAAATGAAGACTGCTTCTTTTACATGTGGAACGCATTTTCAAGTAGGCACTTGACAAGTGACAAAAGCAGACATAATAGCATAGGCTTGAATAAAGACTACAATCCATCAACACACTCAACATACCCCACCACGATCCAATGCCAAATGTCAAATATCAACATAAGGGAAGGCAATTACATCATGTACACAACATTTTGAATCAAGATAATACCCATAAGCCGAAATACAGTCACAGAAAATCACAGCCCCAACACAACCAAAAGAGAAAAGTTATACCTTATTTAAAATAAGGATGAGAATTAACCACTAAAAATATTCAGAACATATTTCCATAAGATTAATATTTTAACAATTATTAATATTTAAACTTTTTGATATATTTTATCTTCACACATGTATTTATTAAAAAGCTCCAATTTTCACAATCTCCATAATGAGGAGTTTCATAACTTGTACTCTTCGCCAAGTATACTTAGAATGATCAAGTCAAGGAAGATGAGGTGGGAAGGGCATGTAGCACGAATGAGGGTAAAGAGGAATGCATATAGGATATTGGTCAGAAACCCAGAAGGAAAGAGACCACTGGGAGACCAAGACATAGGTGGCCGGATACTATTACAATGTTATAAAGATAGAATGGGGTGGTATGGACTGGACTGATTTGGCTCAGGATAGGGACCAGTGGAGGGCTCTTGTGAACACGGTGATGAACCTTCGGGTTCCATAAAATGCTGGTAAATTCTTGAGTAGCTGCACAATTGGAGGCTTCTCCAGAAGGGCTCAGTTTCGTGGAGTTAGGTAGCTATGTATTTTATGTATATAATGACATTAGAATAAAGAATAATATATTATAATCCATTATGAACCTACAGAAATATAATTTTTCCTGTTGTTTTGCATGTGTGTGGATATGATGTCTCACTCAGCAGCTGAGGTTTCTGAGGACAAGCTGTTCAGGGTAAAGTTATGAGAATGCCAGAGAAATTTATGAAAGGGGCTGAAGAAATTACATAAAGAACATGGAAGTTGCTGCATTCTGGGAGTTGATGCAGTGTAGTTTTGGTAGACAGGTACCAACACTGTGAAGGATCATGCTGCCTCCATCTTGTGTGAACCTATTTTTCGGAGGAACATATCACTGCAGCCACCTGCTCACGCTGAAACATCATTTGCGGATTTTTCTACCCTGCAGATGGAGGCAATACGTTCCTCTGAAACGTCAGTTCACACAATATCTACATGGCGCCACATCCCGGAAGACGGCATTATTCATGCTCACTGCTGTGAAAACCTCAACTTTTACATGATAATTTGTGGTTTTATCAAGCATTATCATTGTGATGGATAAGGTTGTTCTGATGTTTTAAAAGAAAGTACTGGCTCTATCTTCAGGATCAAAGAACAAGCCCAAGCAAGCAACCTGCAAGAAACAAGCAGAGTAAGCCATGTGTGGAATATCTGATTCAGATGTAGGCCTAAAGAGGAGCTCAGAGGCAGCCAGATGCAGCAAAGGGGAAGAGTAAGTAGAGCTGGCCTTGACAATGGCCCATTTCTAAGCCTACAAAAAAGGAGGCTCAGGATGAAAGCCAATGGTGATTTATTTTTAACATTGCAAAATATTTGCAGATTCTGTAAATGATGGGGAATTTCTTAACTAAGCAAAGGAATAATGGTTTCTCAATGACTTTTCTCTATGCAGTTAATTAGCTGGTTACCACAATTTAGTGTTAAAGCATGATGAGGGCCATTGTACCTGAAAGCATGGGCGAATGCCATCACTGCATCACTAACGAACTGGAGTTGACCCTCAAAGGCGGTGTTATCCCGGTGGAGCCGCTCTGTTATGTCACATTCCTTCTTGTAATCCTTGTTGTATGGCGTGAGGGAGCTGTTGGGGTATCGACAGTGAAAATGGCCCTCCCAGAACTCTGAAAACACAGACAGAACATAGATTATAATAATGTAATAAAGTGTCTGTAGCTTCTTCCACGAAATTGGCTGTCAGTATTCTGCTATACTTTCAATTACCTCTGTCTGCAGTTTTTAAATTGTTATATCTGAGTTTGTATGCAGATATTCTGTGTCTCCCGTTGGAAAACCTGGATGCTGTCTCTTGGGAGAAGATCTAGTGGCGCCCTTGCGTCCAACCCCCTTTTAGCCCTTGTGAACACTGTGTAGTGAAAATGATCATTACCGACATTCAAGCGAACAGACAGGGGAACATGAGGAACATTGGTAGAGGAAAGTAAGGGGTATGGGGAGGGGGAGGATTCATTGCATTTCATTCCAAGGCCTCAGTATCGATACATATCCAGGTTCGAATCTCGACCGGGTTAGCTAGTGGCTGTTTGCACTAAAACGTTTCCATTTTTCTTTTTTACAAAAATTCTATCGCGAGATATATACTAACTCTTCATTAAGTGATCACTTTGTGGATCGAAAGTAAAGCGAAACAAACTTCATGTAATACCCAAGGGCACAAGTCAGTTGACATACTTTGATCCATTTAGTTAATGAAATTAACACAAAGAGCAAAATGCACTGGTATGGAATCTATATTGCTGTTTGCTATCAATTTCATCAAAACTCAATCATGATCGCGTTTCAGAGGATAACGTTTACGTTTCGGAACACATTCCCCGGTTCCCCCGTACTCCCTCTCTCACCATTAAATGGCATAGTAACATGAATAGCATTTCCCAGAGAGGTTCAAACAACTGAACAAATTATTCCTGTCAGCTTAGCTACGTGAAGTTCAGCTGCGAGTGGGTATGTTAACTTCGACAATACGATCATACATTGCTCCACTGGGATTGGGCACCCTCATAACAGCGCTGTAACAACACACTGCTGTCATAAGTAGCCTGCACACATATTTATCAACATTTACTACTCTGTTGTCCAGAAGAACACAATAAATATACTGTGGCATGTACACCCGTTGCTAGGCGGAAACCGCGAGATAGGCGACTGTACAGCGACCGTTGCTATGTAGTGGCCCGCAGACAATAGAGGAATCGTGTTTTCTGTGCGGTCCGCTAAGCAACAACTGAATAACAGAGAAATGTCACTTTCTTTGTGGTACGTTCCGAGATGTTATAAGCAAGACAACTGGCGCAATGAGTTAGTTAAAATATAAGAGGCTTAAAATTTGCGACGGTCAAGCTTACGACCAATCAAATTCATAAGCTGACGCTATAGAATAAGGTTTACTTACAAGTAAGACATGCATGATGTGCCTTGCAAAGCCTGGACTCACAGAGGACATGTGCGCAGTGCAAAAGCAAGAATTTGCAATAACATGCTACATGTGCGATACACACATTGGACAAAGACGAAGCGAAGCCTATTCATGAGAGACAAACCCATCCTCTAGTCAGAGAGGATGTTACATAAGGACTATGGCCGAAACGGTTCAGTTGCAAAAAAAAAAATCTCAGGTAGTGAGCCTCGAGGAGCTTGGCGCCAAGATTAAATGATTGGCGGTAAACCGGAAGTCGTAAAGTAACTTCGACTTTGACTTAATGAGTCAGTTGTGGGACGTCATCTGAAGAACACCCTGTAGCATTATACGAAACCTGCTACTTCTTTAGCTTGCCTTTGTATGTGTTTCTATAACGGAATTCATTTGTTTTGTTCACCGTAAAAATTCAGCCGATCTCTTCCACAACAATTTCGTCAAACTCAAGCACATCGCACGCGCCTCCAGATTTCGATGAGGGATTCATTCATTCATCAGTGGCTCTACAGCCCATTGCTGGGCCTTAGTCTCTTCTTCAGTTTCGTAATATTTTTCCTTACACAGTCGGTAGGACTCCTTGAACAAGTGATCAGCCAGTCGCAAGGCTGCTATCTATACACAAACAACACAAACACAGAATAAACACACACACAGACATCCATTCCTTGAGTGGGATTCGAATCCATGATCCAAGCTTTCGAGCAAGCGAAGACAGTTCATGCCTTAGACCGCGCAGCTACTGTGATCAGCGAATGAGGGCTTGCTCTGTTTTATTTGAGGCTTACGAACGTTTTGATCTGAAGAACAACCAAGGAAATGAAAACAGGGAAATACAAAAAAGATGAAAAAGAAACAATTGAAATAGAAACGAAATATTTGAAGAATAGCACAGGTAAAAAAGCTATGTGCCTCAAAACAAAGCATCCGAAAATGAAGAATGAAAAGCAATGAATTTAAAAGAAACACAAGAAAAGAGTTAAATGGGAGACGGACTGCATGAAAAGCAGAAAAAGAGACTAAAATACGGTACTATACTGAGCAGGGTGTAGAAGATTTATTAGAACATTTCTAGTATGAATAAAAAGAAGTGTAAAAAGAGCGAGCCCTAGAAACAGAACTGGGAGCATTCAGTGAAGACGAAGGGGGACGAAGACGGACTCGATGTTAACATCCGTTACACAGAAACAGTTCCAGCACCTTGAGATTTTGTGCTACTACTTCTAATCAGGTAATCAGACACGTTCACAGGTGATACTCTCCGGGTCTCACTTCTCTGGAGACCTACTTCGTGTAGACGCTTAGGTACGGACTTACGTCATCCAATTACTGCTGATGCTATCAGAGCCGGGAAGAGCTTCAACAGATCGTCACAAGGAAATAAGGGGTACTGCCAGAGAATTCAAAGAACACTTGTCAATGTGGGGCTGGCGTCTCACAGACTGTCTCTCTCTCAATCATCAAGGGGTTGGTGGGATTATTGTTGTGTTCGCGAGAAGAGAAAGATAAGCTGAGGGCATATACCCCGACAAAGAGCGGTACCTCAGTTTATAGCATGGACGTTATCAATCCTCAGTATCCTGGGTGATCATGAACGTACTGTAGCGTGTAGAGCTGTTCCTAGGCAACGGCTTAGTACACACCTTCCCGCGGCAACGGATACGCATCAAGAATAGAGGTACTGTTGCAAAAGATGTTTTCTACTCGGACTATGTAAATGGGTTATAAGGATAAATGAAGCAAGAATAGTTCAGTTAGGAGAAAAAAGGGAGAAAAATAGCCATTGTTAGGAGCCGTTACCAGGAGACGTCTAGTAGCAGACTGAGAACATTAGTCTGTGCTGTAGTGATTTGTAAAGTGTGAAGATCAGGATGGTGCTGCAATTAAGTGTCATTACGAGATGTGTGTTAAATTGGTCAATAAACCCAGTATAATTCAAAACCCTAAGTCACTCTAGCCGGTCCCGGTAGCCGAGCGGTCTAAGGTATGCACTGTCTTCGCTCGCTCGGAAGCCGGGATCGTGGGTTCGAATCCCACTCAGGGCACGGATATTTGTGTGCGTTTTTCTGTGTTTGTCTACATGTAGAGGCCTTGCGACGAGCTGATCACTCGCCCAAGGAGTCCTACCGAATGTTTAAGATCTAGTAAACCTAAGTGAAACGGAGAGTTTCATGGAGGTAGGCCTAGGCCCACTGGGGCTGTAGCGACACAGAAAAAAAAAGTCACTCTAACACGTTACATTAAATCTGAATTAAGTTATATAACACTATACGAGACACTCAGAGAGAGAGAGAGAGAGTGTGATAATGTATAGTAAAAGAGTAGACGAAAGTGATAAGTCATGGGAGAATTGAGAGAGAGACTTTATGGGGGGGGGAGAGAAAAGGCATTGTTTTGTTAGAAGGTTCCTGGGTTTCGCTCGCTTGTCCTTCTGAAAAAACAGTGAAACAAGAGACGGTACAAAGGAGAGAAACAGTAACTAAACCATTAGCCGCGGAATTCAATTTTATGAGTTAATGTTGAATTGTGCAATTCGGAAAATAATTTGATGGCTTTGACAGAAAAGGAGCTTAATTTTGGTGAATTTAAGGCGGGACGGTTGCATGATAAGCGCGCAATAGCAAACTGAACTTGGGAACAATCTCGGCATTTGCTCAAAGACAGTAAAACAAAGAAACCAGTACCAATACGGCAGGTCGAAAGTCCTTCCAGATGCACGCTGACTTGTTCAGAATCAAAAGAACACGTGAGATTCCGTATATACTCGTATATGCCGTTGCTTTAGTAATAAACTGAATTCCATATCTCCTAAAAATGTATATTGGTTTCTGAATTAGGTAAAAGAAAAGGCATTCCTGCAACAAACCGTGGAGGCCCATAGGGTTATGAGACGTTGGGGTCCCCATCTTTTGTAGACAATCGGCTCACAGATGGCGGTGAGGTTGTCAGCCTTATGCACCGGCCGCCCTTTATCACCCAGGAAGATTCTTGGTACACATTTCTGTTAGAGGTTGAGTCCACCGCAGAGACATAGTGCGGCTGGAAGAATAAGGTCAATTGGAAAATCCAATAACCTCATCAGGAATCGAAGCCGCGACTTTCCGGCTTGTACGTATAATAATTGTTACTGAATTGTATGTCAGAAATAACAACACATTAATTACTGACAATTTTTATTACATATAAAGAAAAGAGCAGTACATATTTAATGTGTTCCTTTAGTGTCCATACCGCCCGAAGCGTAAAAAGTGACGTAGAAATCATTCGGTAATGCACCTACCCGCCGGTCACGGTAGCCGAGCGGTCTAAGGCATGCACTGTCTTCGCTCGCTTGGAAACCGGGATCGTGGGTTCGGATCTGTTTCCTGTGAGGTACGAACTGAATTCTTATATATTATTCTTATACACTGCCGGTCAC